GAAAAAACGATTTGGTCGGAAAACAAGTTGCAAGTCGCTTTTGAAATTTTTTCCGCTTTGTCCGGTTCAGAAAATTACGACCGGTTTGCACGATTCCGCGCAACAAAATGCGTATTCCCGCGGCAATCGTGTCTCTGGTCCTGTTTCGTAAACGAGGATAGCCAAGTTTTTGCCACGTCGGTGATTATACGAACCTCAGCTTCGTTGATTGCGCCGATAATCAAACTCGAAAGCCCAGTTTTTGTCAATTGGACGAGAAATACTTGTGCGCTCGTGAAAAATTGAATCGATGGCAAGTTAAAATTAATAACTGTAATAAAATAAGAAGCTGAGAGTAGCGGCTATCTTCTCTCTGGGAAACGCTCGAGTTTTTCAATTTCGTTATTTAATCTAAACTCTCGTAATATTGTCGTTTTTCGCGTCTTACTTTCCTTACAACTTTTCGAGTCCCGTGATTTTTCCTTTTCCGAGCGAAAATTAAACGCGTTGGAAACGAAAATGGCGGAATCGCGTGGCCGATTCGTGCACACCCATTCGTCCGACCGGTCATTTTTCGAGGTGAAGCAAAACGAGAATCGTCCATTAACCGCACGATAGGGTGGAAGATGTCGATGTACCATCGCGTGTGAGAAACGCAGTAAACGAAGATCCTCTCTTATAACACAAATGTTCCTTCTTACTTTTCTTATCAATCTCGAGAAAAATGTACTCCCTTTGCGAGTACCAGTATCGTATTAAATTTAATATATAGGGATTTTAACTCGTGTTTTATAACTCGACAAACATTTGTCAAACAGTAATCGTACGATAGGGTTTAAATGGAACGATTTATTGGTTATATTTTGGTTTTCTTGAATGAGTATTGACTATTTTCTGTCGTTTTTTTTTTTAAATTTATATATCGTCTTTTATTTTATTATAAACGAACGATAAATTAATACAAAATGTAGATGACAAAAGTTGATTTCGTTCGTGTTATAAATTTATACTTGAAATTATTATCATTAAAATGGTAATTGTGACAAATTATATAGCGAGTTGTAACTCGATGAAGTTTTTAAAATAATCACAATCTTATTTTCGATTTGCAGCTCGTCTCTCGTGAAATATTCGAACGTCTGGCACAATCTGCCGCACTTTCCAAACGGATGAGTCGTCAATCAGACTTGGCCTCGATAAAACGTTTTTTAATAACCTTTCCTTACAACCAATTGACAAGTTGAAAGGCGGCTCAGAAAACGTTTTAAATATCTTCCGATGAAAGTACCGTAGATATGAGATCAACAGGGTCTACATCGATCTCAAAGAGCCTGAATATCCTTCTTGTTTCACAATTTTAACCATTTCCAATCTTATTATCATTCTTTTGCAGAAAATGAAGAATAATTAATTTTAATATAAAGTACAAAATGATCATTACTACATTGATATAAATTCATAAAGTTAAATGGAATTAAACTCTCATCACACAAAAATCAAACGATTTATTTCCAAATACACGTCACTTCTTATATACAATACGCAATAACACAAATTCATCCCGCACACATTCTACAATTAATATTACAGAAGAATTACGTAAGCAAAAAGATTTTTCATTCGTTCATTTACAAAAGCATCCAGATCCCCTTCCCAGATTCCACGCCATACGTTTCACTTCTTTCACGTATACTTATATATATATACTTCGCTCTAATATATCGCAAGATAACAACGACAATAACAAGAATAACAACATTTAATACGCGGGGGAAAGGGAAGTCGGGTGTTTATAAGAGGTGGAAATTTATGCACAATTTACATTTCACCGTGGAAACGGTAAGACAACTGTGTTAACCCGCGCACAGGGGCATCCCTTTTCCCGTCACTGATGATTTACCACGGAAGCGGTACCCCGCGTTTAAAGCTGCTTTCCACGTGTCGTAGGCTTGTAAGTTATGCTCGCGCGGTATGGAGACGTAAGTGGCTGACGCGGTCATTCTCGGCCGCGGATAAAATTCTTCCTCGTTCGCCTCCAACGCTCGAGGTAGGCGTCGAGGGCGGGGAGGGGGGAGGGAAAAAATCTGGTAAATTATCGCCCAATCCTTTTGCAACGTTGCCGGAAGAAGCGGAAGGGGATCGGTTGATTTACCGACACCCGATTTAATTGCGGACGCATTAACCGATTAGTGACACCTTGGGAATAAATTCGACGACCAACATCTCTGAATTATCCCTCTCTTTTACTATTATCGTGTTCTACTATGTCTTGTTTTTTGAATGATAATTATATTAATCGTGTTTCTATACTCGTTACTTGTTTATCATGGTGAAATAGGATTCGATTATCGCCATAAGTGTATAATGGTAATATACATATCGCGGGTGAAGTTTTCGAAACTTTTCCTCGTCTTCGAGAGAAAAATTTTTATTCATTCAACTATCCTTGAGGATTTTTAAAAAATATTTCCCATATCTTGAAGAGTAGATGTAGATACATGTATTACGATATTTGCTCACTTACAGAGGCAGAAATGCATCGAATACGATTATTTAACTTTCAATTAGCTTTTAGCTACTATAAATAAAGTTTTCAAGGTATTGGTGATAAAACCAATCAAGGAATTTTTTTTTTTTTCTTTTTTTTTCTTCATTCGCTTCGAGGTTTAATTCGCTTAAAAGGTAAATCGGTGCGAGGATAATTTGTTTTTTACTGTTTGGAATAGCGAGGAAAATCTGTTCAACGAGGGTGTGGATCGGTAGAAAAGAATTTGATAGAAAAGAGGAAAAAAAGAGGGAGAGAGAGAAATGGACACACGAGGGAATTGGAATTGGCCGCGTGCCGAGTCTCTTCCTCGATATCTTTTATTTCTCCACGCTTATAAGGAAACCGGTACCACGTAATTACCTTGAGATACCGCTACAATGTTATCACACCCTTCCTTCTCCACTCTTTGTCGTATCGTGAGCCGAGATAGAGATCTTGGTTCGTCCGTCTTTATAAAGCGGTTTGACCCAGGACCTCGATTTCAAATCCTTTCTTCGTTGCACCGTTAGTTGGGCCAGGGTAAGACGATCCTACTTTCTCTTGCTTACGAGCAAAGGGTGTCAAAAGAAGTTAAGAATTACAAATTTTCTTTTTCAGGCAATCAGAGTATCCAGTATTTATTGAAAAATGGGAGAATAAGCGTGTGATATTGGAATCAATTGGACGTATTGAATGGAAGATATTAATTTCGATTACATTCATTTATTATTATAAAATATCTTTTATTCGTAAATTTTAGCTATTTAGCGGATAATATGTCTTTGAAGATTGGATTTTAAATAATATATATTGGAAATATATTGGTGAAACGTTCCAACTTTCTCCTAAAACTCCTCTCCAATATCTGATCAGAAGTTCAAGAACGATAAACGAGTACTGTTCTTCGATGCTAACGGTACTCACCAGATCCTTTCTCCTTCTCCTGCCTCCGTATTCACGATGAAAGTATCTTTGCTCGTCCACATGCACGAGCTCGACCTAAAACCTATACTCGATCGACCAAATTCCCCTAGGTCTAGATCATTTCTCAAAACTTATATTACTCGATAAATTTTATCTGTCCATCCATTATTCAAAATTTCTACTCGTTCGACGAAAATTTAAAATCCAAAACTTAGGATAATTTTTGTAGAAAGGAAGAAAGAAATCGATGGGGATCTCGAGTTTGATACGCGCGAATTTTAATCGTCCAATTCTATCTGTCCATCCATTATTCAAAATTTCTACTCGCATCGTTCGACGAAAATTTAAAATCCAAAACTTAGGATAATTTTTGTAGAAAGAAAGAAAGAAATCGATGAGGATCTCGAGTTTGATACGCGCGAATTTTAATCGTCCAATTCTATCTGTTCATTATTCAAAATTTCTACTCGCATCGTTCGACGAAAATTTAAAATCCAAAACTTAGGATAAATTTTGCTCCCAGGAAGGAAGAAAGAAATCGAAAGAAATCTGAGGATCTCGAGTTTGATACGCGCGAATTTTAATCGTCCAATTCTATCTATCCATCCATTATTAAAAATTTCTATTCGCATCGTTCGATGAAAATTTAAAATCCAAAACTTAGGATAAATTTTGCTCGAAGGAAGGAATTTTGCAGGAAGGAAGAAAGAAATCGATCTGAGGATCTCGAGTTTGATACGCGCGAATTTTAATCGTCGCTCCGGGGAATTCGTGAACGGTTCTCGAATGTGAAATGTGACGAAAAGGAAGAAATCGTGGCGTGAAGGAACCGTGAGGTAACGGTACAGGGTCGGTGGAACCTTGGCCGGATATAAAAAGAGACGAGAAGAAAAGTAAAAAGGATAACAAGTCGGCCATCCGCGATCTCGAGGAACCGTTCGTCTCGCAGCTGTTCCTCTTCGGGACATCGTTTTTCGACCTCGCCTAACGCGAAATCGATCGCATGATAAATTGTAACTTTATTTCTACGATCGATGAAAATCTTTACTTTTTTTTGCTCAGATTTCGTGAACGAGAATGGGTACGTTTAAACGTACGTTTCTGGCGATAATAGTATTGGTATCATGTTTAATTGTTTGTCGTTTAATTGTAATTAATGATGTTTAATCTGCGCGCGACGATTGGAGAGGTAGTTGATTTATCTTGGAAAATCGGAGAAAGGCGGAAAGAGAAAAAAAATGAGAAGAAGTTTGCATTCGTGAGCTCGTGTAACAATTACCCGTTCTCCCTGTTTCTCGAATCCGGATTTACAGTAGTCGAACTTTCCCTATACGAATAGTGGCGGAACGAGGCGGAATTGCACTCGGGTTGCCGCTCTCTCACTCGTTGCCAATTAATTCGCTTCGAGATCACGGCGAATATTTAATTTCCAAAAACCGACTATATACCTCGACTTGTCGATAATTAACGGATGAATCAATATTCGTCGCGCGTTGAGTATTCACCTCTCGGAATATCGAGAATTTTGCGGAAAGCGAAACTGACGAACGAACGCCTCGTTTGCTTGCAGAGTCCTCGATCGGCGATCATCGTCAGGGCCGCATGTCCCTGCAGGCGGAGCTGCCGTCGTCCAAGGCGAAGAGGGAGCAAGCGCTTCGCAGCATCCTCGCTGCGAGGAGGCGACAGATCTTCAGCCAGCGGCCAATCTCGGAATCTCGGAACCCGAACCGCGCACCGAGACCGTTCGACGCGTCCGCGAAAGACGCGTCGATCGACGTTCTCGAGGCCCAGGAGACGAGGCATGGGATGTACGTAACCGCGGCTGCCGGCAAACCGGGAGACGAGGAAGCGTCGGGCGGGATCGACGGGGGCGAGGCAACGTCCAGCAGGGACGTGGACATCGAGTTCGTGTCGAGGGACGAAGGGAAACGAATCGTCGAGAAGAGTTCGACGGGGAACACGTCTCTCTCGTCCCTGGTCCCCAATCAAAAATCTTCCGACACGGAAACTCGTGGAAAGAACACGGTCCCTATGCCCGAGTCGCTCTACAATTATTTCAGACCGGTCGAGAGTAACATACCTGTCGAGGACATGTCGCAATTCCTCTACTTCGGGCAGAAGATTCAACCGGAAATACAGAATGGGACTGGTAATAACAATGATACGGCCGAGTCGACGTTGGCGAGCGCGGCCAACTCCAGAAGAAGGTACTCCATGAAGAGGAATTTCGGCGCGACGACAACGGTGCAACCGGTGGCCAGGTTGGAGGAGATGATCAACGAGGAAATGAACATCGCTGTGGAACGACAGACGGTGGAGAAGAACAAGGTGTCGAAGATGAAGAACGCGTACAGAGGGGCGGAAAACGGGGTTTACTACAGGAAGGCGAGGCCTGCGGAGGCGACGATCGCCTCGAACGTTATTGGAACGGGGAACGGTACCAGCGGTGGATCGGACCCTGCCGTGGAAAATAAATTTCGCGACGATAACCCGTCCGCTCACGTGGACCAGCTGCGGCGCGAGAGAGGAAGTGCCGCCGCCGCCGCTGCCCACGTGGCCGTTGAAACGTGGAATGCGAGCAACTCGACCCAGATACCGGCCGGGCAGCCCGTTTCCGCGATCACGCGCGAGCGGAACGGGGCAGAAAGTGAAATCAAGCTGAAAGATCGTCCCACGGACGCCTCGAACAAATCGAAACCCGTATCCTCGACCGTGAACGGCGTGAACGAGAAACCGTCCAAGGTTTATCCTCGAAAGAGGAAGAGCAACGATCCATCGTATCTCGAGGACGATATAATAATCCCCTTCTCGAATCCCCGAGAATCGTTGGAGGTGGAGGGAGCCGAGAAAGAGGGGCGAGGGATCGACGAAACGAGCTATCGTCGACGGACCACCGTGGTTGCTTGCCGCGAGAGCAACAACATCGAGACGTCGACTTCGAGGGAGAAGCTCCTCGGCCGTTCCTCCACCGAACCGTTTCGAATCGCGTGGACGCCGCCTGAAACGTCCACCCTCCGGATCGTGGTGACGGAAGGAAGGTTGGGGCGAGGTTCGGCCGACGAGTATACCGTCGAACCGGTGGTGGATTCCACGGAGGGACGCAGCCTCGACGTTCTTCCCACCCCGACCGGTCTCGCGGGGTCTCGCGGGATCGAGGGGGCGCGTTGGAAGGGGCGGCACAGGGAACAGAAGCAGGCTCATCGAGGGCTCGACGAAGGGAGCGGCGCGTCGGCGCGGGAACAGGAGCGGGATCGGGATCCACGGCATCGGGAAGAAGAACAGCAGCACCAGCAGCAGCACGTGTACGCTTACACGATAACGAACGTGACGCGGCTATTGCGCAACTACACCGGACCTGGGTTAAGCAGAGAGGAACAAGGAGGTCGAGAGGCGAGCACGGGTACGACCGAGATAACGAGCGGATCGCGGCGTCAGCAGCCAGAGTCAGAGGCAGAGGCAGAGGCAGAGTCGCAGCCGCCGCCGCCGCCGCCGCCGCCTCTTCTGCCTCCTCCTCGTGGCGGCGGCGCGGCGGGTATAGAGGCAGGCCGAGCGCCGGCGGAACTCAGTGCCGGCACGACCGTCGAACCAGCCGCAGCCGGTGGTGAAGCGGCCGCTCACCTGGTGGGGGAACGACAGAGGAAAGTGGTCGTTGCAGTCGGTGCGCACCAGTCGCAGCAGCAGCGCGCGGTCAACAGAGCGCAGTTGCAGCTGACCGCCGTAAACAAGAGCGGGCCGAGGTCGGCCAAGACCGCGGAAGCGTATCATCCGAGGGGCGGCGTGCGTTGGAGCCGCGCGAAGCCTAGGAGCACGGAGATCGAGGGGCTGAACGATAGAAGGTTTCTCAGGAAGTCGGCAAGCGCTGTGTTGAATCAGAGGGTCGGGGCTGGTCCCGAGGGAGAGGAGGACGGGGCCGTGGCAGGGAAGAGGAGGAGGTTGACAAATGGCCAGAGCCAGAGGAGGATCAAAGGGACGAGGAACGTAGACGAGGATTCGGATACGGTGAATAAGAGCGGTTCGATAGCAGGGGACGAGAGGAATTCGAGGGTCGGAGCGAGGGTCGAGGATGTGACGGTGGTGAACGGGAGCGGAGAGGGTATGACATTGGAAAACACGACGACGGTGGATACGACGAGCGGTGTCACGATGCAGCAGAGAGTTTCGTTCGCTCCCTCCGTGGAAACGGTGGTCGATTCGACCGACGGCGGTAGTGGTGGCGATGGTGGTGGTGGCGGTGGTGGCGGCGGCGATCCTCTTCCGACAACGGTGAACGCGACCACCACGGCCGAGGGCGGAAGCGGCGACCAGGCGGAAGCGGTGACCGAGGCATTCGATACCAAAGACGAAACCGTGGGGCGGGCGAGTGAAAAGGAAAGCGTCGTCGTACCGTCCACGAGCACCCGCGGTATCGGGAAGAGCGGCGCGGATAATGGCACCGAGAACGGTCCGCCGACCGTGACAATGACCGCGGCGTCCTACGAAACGATCGTGGCCAAAGAGACTACCGCGCCGTTGCCGGCGCCCGTTTTCCCCGTTACGCCCAGAATGATCGCGAAAGCGGCCCGAGACCCGATCCAGACTTTCACCTCAGAGCCGACCGAGGCCCCGAGCCAAATCACGGATACCAAAACGGTGGCCGGCCTCGTCGATCCTTCCGACACGGAAAAAGCGTACGAGTCTAAGGATCGCGGGATCACGACCGTGACCACGACCGCGGGTGCAACCGCGGCGTCCTCGTCCATCGCCACTACGGAAGCGTCAACGACCACCACCACCGCCGCCACTACCACCACCACCACCACCACCAGCATCACCACATCCTTGCCCACCGTGCAAATAGAGATCTCCACGATCCCCCAAGACCGAAGCGCGACGACCACCACCGATTCGAAGGACACGTCTTCTTCGACCTCGGCGGCAGACTCCGGTGATGGCAGACGAGGGTCCGGCGAAAGGTCACCGGAAGTGAGGGGGAGGAATCTGTCGGACAAGACGCAAGACGCGTCCACCGACAAGGACGACGTGCTACCCATAATGCATCTGTACAACACCTCGGACATCTTCAACAACACCGGCCCGGTGAACCCGTTCTCCCGGGGAACGGAGCGGCGGGCGGAGCACCCGCTTCCGGCCAAGCAACCCTCCGAACCTTCGAGAACGACCGAGAAAACCAGCGACACGGTTACACCGAGGAGCGGTGAGAATTGGACCCGTGGCCCGGATACGAGGAGGGACAGGCACGAGGAGGTGATCGCGGCGAGCAATCAGGTGCCGGCGACGGGCCCGGGCAGAGGATCGTCGACTGGCAACGGAAGTGGGAATCGTACGAGGCACAGGACCGTGTATCACCATCCCATTCTGCCCGAATACAACACCTCGGTGTATCCGAGCGAGTTGAACAGGACGTTGTTCGAGACCGGGCTGATATCGGTCAGTCCAAGGGAGTCGGTGAATATCAGTGAAGTGATATCGAAGAGGCACGACGGGGACGCGATCGCGTCCCAGGAGACGGTCGCCGTGGTCAGCTACATCTTGGCGACGTTGGTCGTGTTCCCGATCGCCGTCGGCGTTGGCCTAATTCTTAGAAGACTGATACTTAGGAATCGTAAGGTGAGCGATCGATCAATGATTTAAATGGTGGTGGATGCACGGGTGTTTGGAGATTAGAAAGTGTATATACATATATGGGTATATAATATAGGTCGGGTGAAAGTGGTGTATGTTTGACGATGGCGGGCCAGACTCCCGTTTCAATTGGTGGAGGTGTAGGAGCAAGGTTGATGCCAGTGACCTTCTTCTTGTTTTTTCTTTTTTTCTTGATCATTGGTAATTTCACCGTTTATTTTTTTTTATTTTCGAATGAAAATCTTTGCTTCGATATTTTTTTATACGATCATAGAATCTTCTACGATTCTTCTTTCCCGCATACCACGGGATTTGGATACCGAATCAGAGTCACAAGATTTGTGGGCAAAAACCTTCTTCTTTCTCCCCTTCGAACGAAATTCAACGACTATCCGTTTGATCGACGCGAGGATCTCAAAGCGATGCTCCCAGCTGCGCGAAGGGAGGCCATTCGAAATGGTATCCTTGAGCCGCTAAACGTTTCATTTTTATTCGGCCGTGATTCCAGTCCGGCGGGTGTAATTTCCTCTCGACCCTGCTCCTCCTCCTCCTCCTCCGCCTGCTGTATTATCCGGGCAAAAACTTTGATTTACGATTGTGTACCGTAAAGCGTATCTGGCCGATGATCGCTAAATCGAAACGACGCGAATTGTATAGCACCGCCACTTATGTACCGTTACGCGGTATCCCTTTGGATTATCGTCGACCGTCCTGGGCATTTATCATCCGGCCATTAAACCTTACTGTGTACTTTCGTTATCTTCCTTGTGGTGCAAGTACGAAAAATAAGAGAGCCTTTCTCTCGATCGAGTTATCGAGATAAGTTTTAGATAATTAAGAAGTTGGAGATTGATTCCATAAGGGATAAGGTTGAAGTAGAGAAATAAATTTGTGGAAACGAAGGTGATATAATATCGTGAGTAAGCGTTGTATTCTTTGAATTTGTACGTGTCCTTGAACTCGTCACAGGGAATGGACACAATGGAGCTCGATTAAATTTTTACGGATGATTCTCAATGACTCGTTGGATCTTCGATTCTAATATTAATAACGTTTTGTGCGGATAATGGGAAAAAAATTTGAATTTTAAATTAATAAAAAAAAAAATCGGAGAAGAAGTATCCCAAAAAATAACTTTTCAGAAAAGAAACGGAAGGAAACTTGTTGGTCAAAAAAAAAGAAAAAAATAGTAATAGTAAATAGTAATCGTTTCATTTGTCGTGTCCTTGACTCGTAACAAAAATGTATAATTCATAACGAATCCGATGATCTTTCGAATGCGAATACACGGTTCAAAGATTAGTTATAAACCGATCGATAATTTATTCGCTTCGAGTTATTTATTTATTCACGTTGATCGATGAAAAGAAGCGGAGAGAGAAAACGATTTCTTCCACGGAGAGAAGGAATAGTCGAGTATAGACCGTCCGCCAAGCACGTTCCTCCTCCTCCTCCTCCTCCTCATCGAGTTCGCGATGCCCGTCCTCTATCCCGAAGTTTCAAATTTTATTTTCATCGTGATCGAGTACATAAGCATTATCTACAATATTCACGTCCCTTTCGTTAGTATAAACGATTCCATTTATAAGAAAACCGGCATTTTGCATTAATCGAATATTCATAATTTAAATAAACTGTCGTTGTCGTTGGAACGTGACTATCTTGTATTCCTCGATGCGTTGAGTCACTATCACTCGAAGAACTGTGAAAAATATTCGAAGGAAAAATCAAAGTTTCGCGGGAATTGCACGTTCTTGTCGAGTGAAGGTACGTGACGATGATGACGTTAATATTTTGCATAGGTGCTGGAGGAATCGGATACGTCGTCGGAAATAAGTTGCAGGAAGGATGCTTTGAATCTGGAGAATGGCGACTTCAAAACGTCCATCGAGAAAGCGATCACGAAACTTCCCAGGATACAACACTTGGTGAGTAATCGAATAATTTTTTTTCTCTCTTTCTCTCTCTCTCTCTTACGAATATAAAATATAAAATCATTTTTTCATGGTATATGATAAAATTTAATTTAAGGAATCATACACATAAATTAGATATTTATCATATATTTATTATAAATTATTTATATCGAAAGAAATGAATTATTTTTTTACGAAACACTTATTCATCATAATTGGATTAAAATTATTATTTTTAAATCATTGAGAGCATTTATTCGTATTCCGTGTCATAATTATTAATTTTCTACAACAATTCGGATGCTTCATTAAAAAGCAGATGGAATACAAAATAATATCTCACGACGCGTATCTTGCTTCTTATATCTTCAATTAATACGGAAGAATGAAAAAAAGAAATACACGAAGATTAATCGATCATTTCGACCTTGTTTCATTCTCCTCCAACTTCTCATTAAGAAACAACAAAGCGTAAAATGATATTTTACATTGTACAATACTACTGTTAAGACCGTTTTTAAGCATCTTATTATAACTCAATTAAAACAAAAGGATAGAAAAATAAAAAATAAAAATCGTCGAGTCATAGAGAAATTACTGCTTCGGCCCGCTCATTAAAAAATAATCGGCTGGAAGGAACGATAATTCAGAGAGAGCGGAACGGAGAGCAATTCTGCTTCTCGCCCGGAGTCGCGGTACATCAAAGGGAGGATGTGCCGCAGATTTATTCGTCAGGCATTTTTAAATAATTATCGTTCGCGATACGAAACGATATACCAACCACCTTCTTTCTCCCGTTCCAGTGTCACGAAGCGGAGAAACCACCGCCCCCTTCGTCTCAAGAATCCAGATGGGAGTTTCCTAGAGATAAGCTTAGGTTACAGACGGTCCTCGGCCAAGGAAACTTCGGCCAGGTAAGGAGTTGGTCTTCCATTTCGCGCGGGACAGGAACATCTTCGAGGCCTCGAGAGAGAGAGGTGTGATAATAAATCGTTGAGGCCGTAAGCGCGAAAATTCGGTTTGTGAAATCGGTTGTGAATCGGCCTTCTTCTTCTTCTTCTTCTTCTTCTTCTCGATTAAACGAAACGATGTTATTTCCGTTCTTATTAAATTTTTCGAATGTGTAACGATCTCTTGAAGAGATGTGAAATTGATTCTTGACGATAGATTATTGATATTATCGATGGTGCTAGAAGTTCCTTCAAGAATAATTAATTTCAGCATAATTTGAGGATGCGTAATGGATTTCGAATGTTTTTTTTTTTTTTTCTTTATTTTAAGTAAACGTTCGAATTACTTTTAGTCATTCTCATTAATTCTAAGATTCCTTATTGACTTCATCGATTATTTACAGTGGATTTTATTATCGCATAATTCATTCTCTTTTTCCAGTAATTTATAAAATTATCTTCTAATTGGAAAGGATTTAATTTGTTTTGTTTTAACGTTTGTAATAGGTTTTAATACGATTTTAATGGACGAGAGAATTAAATTGAAAATATTGTTCGAAAAAATTCTGTTAAATGATAATTGATTCGTTGCATAATAATTTTCATTCTGATATATTATACATAAATTAACCTAGTTTGAACTTAGTTTCACGCAAGGGACGAATCTTATAATTAAAATCCTATTAGAAAGTCGAAATGACTTTTTATCTTCTTAGGTCTGGAAGGCTGAAGCGGATGATTTGACAGGTCATCAAGGGACGACCCGGTTAGTGGCCGTGAAAACGGTGAAAGAGGGTGCTTCCGAACGCGAGAAGGAGGATCTGGTTCGAGAACTGGAAATCATGCAGCAGCTTGGCAGCCATCCGAACGTTGTCACTCTTCTTGGTTGCTGTACGGAACAAGGTAAAGCTTGTTCCCTAATTTCATTTTTTAATTCTGCTTCGCGGAAATTATGATCAATTCGATCATTGATTTTTTGATCAGTTTTCTTTTCTAGCGATGAATAAGTTAAAACAAGTAAAAGAGGAAAAAAAAAAAAAATGCAAAATACAAATTGACATAGCGTTTAACACTTATTACTAGTCATTAAATCAGCCAAGTTAAGTGTCGTTTTTTGCATATGTATGTCCACGTTATTAATTCACGTGTCATTTATTTTTGACCTTGTCTCGTTTGCTCTTGACTTTACAAACGTACGACAGCACGAACGGCCACGTTCAGAGATTGCAAAATGCACGATGATTAAGTAATCAACCTTCCAAGATGGATCTTCGTTCAATCGAAAACTGACATTTCACGATACTAATCCATCTACGTCCTCGCGACAAACACATTCCTCTACGAAGACGTGATATTGGATGCACGTGATAAAAAATCATGGAGCAAAATTCTTCCTAATATTTCCATTGTCGTTAGAATCTTTTTTCTCTCTCTCTCTCTCTTTCCTTCGTTTATCTTCTTACTCTTCGACGCAGCCCAAGATTTGCATTATTTTTAATATCGTTTCGAGCATCAAGCATCTTATTTAATCATCATCGTGCGCTCACGTGACGTGAAAAATACAGAGAATCGGTTTTCTTTTCCACGATTGTTATTTTTTGAGAGGAATGTATATGATATGGTGTATATAATAATTCACTATATATATTCGCGTGTAGTGATCGCGAAAACTATGATCACGATAACTGGTTTCGATATACTCTCAATTTTATCTCTTCTGCCTGGCGCATCTTCGATTATTTACGATTTCGTGTATTCACCATCCACCGATCGTATCGCCGTGAAACACGGCGTAATGCATATTGAAGACGTCGTTAGGGGATTAAAGGAGAGAGAGACGGAGAGATGCATTCCACGTCATTGAGTCACTTGATGGACATTTTTCTTTTTTTTTTTTTTTTTTTCTTCTTCCTAGTCTCCGTATAAATGATCGTGATCGTTTATATACACACGCGTGCGCCATTGTTTCCCGGATAAAAAAGATCGTAGATCGATGGAAGATGGTAATGGTGTGGAAGAATCGGCTGTTTACGTGCCATCATCTACGCTTATAATTGAGTAATAGTCATTGCGCACTACCTCCGCGAAATTGGCACTGGAGGGATTGATGAATTTCTATGCGGTTGGACGATGGAGACAATGGTTGGTTGAATTGGATTTTTTAATTTGTTGCCGTTGTTAAAGAAGTTACAAATAGGTCTTTCTATTCTATTTATTTTATATTTGTTTGACAAAAATTGAAAAATAGAAAGGAAATTATCCTTTTTTTTTTTTTTAATGGAACGAATCATTGTTTCGTTAGAAATAATAATAATAATAATAAAAAAAGAAAAAATTACATGGAATTCGCTGATTCGAATTTTACATCAGCAAATTGCACAAAATACATTTTTTGCAAGTTCAACAGAAATCAATTGCGACACGTTATTTGTTATGAGTACAGAGTTTTAATTTCGCAATTATTATTCTGAAAATTTTTAATGTTAATAGCTTTTTGTTTGTCTATGAGCAATCAGTGTCTGATTAATTGAGGTAATAAACTATCCATCGATATAAGATAGTTAAATAATCATTGTTTCCGACAATGATCACACAATTATCTTGGTAAATTGAAATTGTGATTTCCGTTTTTCCAATTGTCGATTAGTGCGCAGTTACACACTCACGAAACTGCGTCAAAATATATATATATATATATACAACGTATAAGAAAAAACAAATGAAAAAAAATGACCACCTGTTTCAACACGATAAACCAAGTTATTCTCGAAAGTTTTTGTTGCATCGACGGATTTCAAAGAAAATCTCGAGAATACTGAATAGTTATTGGAAAAAAACTAACTAAAACTAAAACTTAAATAAAGAATTAAAAAAAAAAAAAATAAAAATAGAAATTGAAATGATTTTTCCAATTAAAATGTCAGGAAAAATCAAATCTTGAAAAATTAGAAGAAAAATAAATAAAGTCAGATATAGAAATTGAAATTAATTTTTTTTTTTTTTTTTTTTTAATTAATTAAGATGTCAAATGAAGAATCTCAAGAGCACGTACTTGGGAAGAAAAATAAATAAAATTAAAATAGAAGTTGATGTAACGTCTCGAATTAAGATGTTCTCGACGATGAAAATTTAGAAGGAAAATATATAATTACAGATAATACTTAGGAGCTTATATAACATGATCTTTTATACAATGCAATTCTCATCTTCCTGCAATTCATTTATCACATCACGATTTCGATGTATCAAGCATTCTTTACAACGTTTTAAAATTGAAATTTTCAGAATCGAATGAAGAATCATCTTCTTCTTCTTCTTTTTTTTTTTTTTTTTTTTCGGCACAACGCATAATAGTCAATATTTTTCACATAAAAAAAAAAAAAATTATATTTTACTAGATAATTTAAATTTTTATGAAACACATCCCTCGCATTACAATATATACAAGAATTGTCTAAATCATACAATGCAACAGTCGTAAAATTGCATATGCACCTGATCGCACGCAGCATACTCCGTCTTATAACGATAAAATCCAATGGTTGAGACATCAAAACAGAAACGAGACAATCTGGAAGTTTTAGCCGTGGCTCGAAGGAGGGAGGCCCATTATACGTCTTTCGTTGCAAGACTCTCGTCGGTATCGTCGCTCTCATCGTATAAATTTCCATACGTGTCCCCACGGCGAAGATCCTCGTGGCACAATACGTCTATTAAGTCGAAATGATCGTTCGTAGCGAGTTTCAGAGGATACACGTATATATCGATACGATCAGGCCCATCTGCATGGACGTCGATCTGGATTTGACGTCGTTACGGCGTCCCATCGTTATTTATGCGCCGAGTCTAGTCTTTTTCCCTCGATTGTATGGTAATATCAAGTGGGGATCTGGTCTAGTAATAGCATAAAATTTAACCCCCTAGTGGGAAATAGCTTGATATGCTTGGAAAAATTGCGCGATCGAGTAATAGGTGCGCGAAATTTATGGAATTAGCGATTGCTAATCTTTAAAAAGTGTCTCTTTCGAAGATTACGAATTTACCATTAGATTTTGAAAAGGGGAGATAATTAAATTTCTAGGCGAAGAGAAATTTGTGTAATCGTTAATCTCTCCGTGGAAAATAATTTTTAAAAAATAAATAAACGAAAAGAAATTATTGAATAAAACTTTATCTTCGTTAGAAAATTTTTATTCATTTTATTCATTTCAACGATTACATATTATTGCAATAATTCGTACGAAAAGGAGTTTGAGTTGAACAGGAACAGTTTTAATAATTGTGGACGATCCTCAAGGTCCGTAGAGGACACGAAGTGTTCGTTTTAGGGGGGGAATAGCCCCACCCTTAACGTCCTTTGAAGCGCGTAGAAGAAAGAACACGCCTGCGTGAACCAAGATTTACGGCGTCTAAATTTCTACGGGCCCCCGTATTTATCGTTTCGGTCATGGTGGGCACGTTCGAATTCCTCCTGAACGACGTTTTCGTCCTTTGACGGCCGCCTCTTGTCAAAAAGGGATCCCTTTCGACAAACTAAAACGAAAAGAAGAGGCGTGTAAAGAGCCTCCATCGTTTTTGAAACGGAGGATCAAAAATATAATTTATGAACTTCTCCATAGTTATCGGATATTCGAAGAATTTTGATATTATTTTTCATGGGCGAGAAGAAATGGTAATAATGTCAAAATACAAGTATTGACCATTCTTATATAAAATGGATAAATAATTAGGGGAAATAAAGTAAGGAATGTGGTGAAACGAGACAAATTACCACGTGTTGTGATAATTATGCGATGATATTATTACCGGTGACAAATTTTACCCATTTGGCTGAAACGGCGTGCCGCGCCATTTATCTGGAACCCTATTAGTCCAGGTGCAAAACACGTTGGGATTCTTCGACGTCAGGAATGATTCATTCGTAAATTATCATTTTCTAAAATACGTGATTAAGAATATTTATAAGGATCGCGCGCCACATTTCGAAAATGGAAAATTAATCAAAATTCCTCGTATATAATAACTTCTAATCATATCTAAAATTACAAGTACAATTCAAGAGTTACAATTATTCAGATTCTTAAAACTCTATAAATAGAATTAGAAGCAACGTGCCTTCTTCTTTATTCCCATCCACTTCTTTATCCTATGAAAAATTTTCACAATATTTTGAAAAAGATGATCCACTCCACGCCAAATCCCCCGCGTGGATTCACCCACGCGAACGATTGAGGTTAAAATCTCGACGTTAACATATTCGACGGTTACCATTTCTCGCCGTGCAAATATTGTGACTCGATGCGCGCACGATCGATTCGTGCGGAACGAACGAAGCTCGCGGGGAACGCAGGAAAGAAACGCTCCTTAACAAACGAAAGTTATTAGAGGGCGGTAATGCTAGCCTAATATGAAAGTTACGAGCTCGTGGGGCCGTGCAAAAGTGGGGCCATAAGTTACAATCAGCCCGGGATACTGCCCACCGGGCAACCCGAAAGTGCTCCGGTTAAATTACTCGAAGGGCCTCCTCAGCCGTGCGAGTGAGAGGCCCTTCGCCTTCTTCGCGCCACGGGGCCCCTCTAATCCCCTCCCCCTCCCTTCACTTCGCCGAGTTAACGCCGATCAAACGCATCGTGCAATCATCGCGAAACTTTCCAGATCGTTCCAATTAATTTTGCGATCCGTGTAATTCGATAATCGTGGGCACGGTTTTGTTCGCAGAGCCTCATTATCTCATACTCGAGTACGTGATGTACGGGAAATTGCTGGCCTATCTTCGAGATCATCGCACCAGGCAGGATTTCTACAATTTCAGCGAGGACTCCGCGGCGCTCACATCCAGGGATCTCACTGTGTTCGGGTACTGCGTGGCGAGAGGGATGGAGTATCTTGCGTCGAAAAAGGTGAGATTTTGCAATTTTGATAACTTTTGCTCGGCCTTTTTTTTTTTTTTTTTTTTTTTTATACCAAATTCGGAGGCTTCGTTGTGTAGAAATTTAGATTCTTTCGTTCGTGAAAAATTACCATTCTTGTATTTATTTCGATATTTGGAATTGGAAAACTGAGAAACTACGAAGAACGAATTATATAAGTTTGCTATTTGTAGATAATTTTTTTATGAAAATCTCGATTCTCTTTTTTCACGATGACGTATGTTAGCTTCGACGTGTGTTGTACACTTCTCTTTCGTTAATTTCGTTGGTTTATTCATTTTTAATGATATTAATAAACGCGAGCCGTTCATATTTTCAATATTCGTGAAATATTAAAAGTACGTGGCAGCGTTTAAATTATTACCTCCCCCTATTTCCATTACGCTTACCCCCTTCTCGGGGCCGAAAATTTATTATGACCTTATATGCTCGCGTGTTCAAAGGGTTTTAACATCGGAACCAAAACGATACAGCGACAGTCTACTTACTGTAACATTATATCGAAGTATATTGCCCCCGATGTTGTTACTTCATGCCACGTTGATCTCGTTTTTTCGATTTCTTTTCGATTTTGTATCTCATCGTAGAGTTAGAGCTCGAAATCCAAGAGTAAAATTTCAACTATTAAACTAAACGTTATTCAATCACGTTATTTATCGTCAGAAGATTTTTTTATTTAGAAAGAAGATATTTACTGTACGAATTCGAATAAGAAAATAAATTTAACCGTCGCAAGAAGATCCTTAATAATATTACGAACGCACCTCGTAAAAGTAGAAAGGGAAGGGTGTAAATCAAAATCTCTTCTCGATATCGAAATCGACCAACCCAAATCGAAACTTCGCTTTTGAAAATCGTTTTGAGATCGAATGAAAGTTTCGTAAATGGCACCTAAGTGTGAAAAGATAAAAATCCCTCGTCCTTCGAGGTTGCCTATACGTCACAGTTGAAGGTCGAGAGTGAAAAAGCGATGGAATGGCAAACATTTCGTATTTGCGCTTCAAATATTATCTTAACGTCGTGAAGATTGGGGCCGACTTTTCATTTCGCCAGATGAATCTGTGTCAATGGGTAAAGGATCCATGATATTACAAATAGATAACAAAAATTACGCGTGTGTTAAAAATTTTATCATAAACGTGATAAAATTGTTCATTTTTCTTCATGTAAAGAAAAAAGAAAGGAAAAAATCCTTAAAATTCTCTCTATATCTTACACAAAGTTTTTTCATATAAGTATCTATAAAAATTTGTGAAAATGTCAAAGAATTTTACAAACATCTTAATTTTCTAATAAAGATGATCTCGTGATTGCGAGATTAGGTATGCAAATTAGGTTAAAAATATATCTACGAACACGAGTTTGAAGCATGCTGAATAGGGAATGAAGCAGTTTCCATAGTCGTCGAATTTTTTATTGCCGATTTTCGATATTTCGAAGCGAAAAATTCAAGGATGATAATGTGACACGATTGAAGTGACACGTTTAAATATTATGGTTGTAACCCTTTCAGATTCGCTTCAGAAACGTAAAATAAATATTTTTATGCATCCGACGACACTCAATGGAATCCTTTTCCTTTAAATAATACTTCGAAGTCGAAGCTGTAAAATTTTTTTCGTCTATCGTATACTTGTATACTTACTAAACACGTGTTCGAATATATAATTTTTCATTATATTATTAAAAAAATAAGGATATTAACATCCAAAAGCGTAAAAAAAAAAATGGACATAAGGATTTAAATTATATATACTTTAAAAGATATCGAAAGTTAAGAAAAGTGTTTCGTGAAGTTTAAACACGTTTTACTTTAGAAAGAATCTTGGTGTTCTCCATATCGGAATGCGGCGTTTCATTTTCCTTCCGATGAATAATTATTGGTCGCTTGTTAACTTCAGGAGATTAGCTTTCGCGTGGCGTTCCTCGAAAAACGATTACACTGACACCGCCGGTAATTCGATATTCGTGAAAAATAAACCATAATCGATGCACTTGTCCTTGGAAGAGAATAAAATTCTTCCGATTCGATAATATTTTTTCAATTGCAATGGAAATAAGCGGTTTTTTCCTTTCTTTTTTATATATAAATAAATAAATTAGCGAGTATTTGGAAAATTAAAAAAAAAAGATCGTAAAATATCTTATACGATACGAAGGTGCAGCGATGGAAAATAAGAATATAATGGAGATTATAAGAGGGGATTTTTGCATAGTATGAAAATTCTTGAGAAACTGGTTTATTTAACGTTTGATATGTATATATGCTAATTTATATAAGCTAGCTAAGTACCTGATCCGTATCTACTTCATTTCCATAATTCGCTCGACTGGTTCGTGCTTCTGTCGTGTCATCTATCCCTTATAACCCTCTCCAAGATTTTCTTTGCCGAAGAAAATTAGAATAACAAATCATAGCATATAGTTAGAACATTCGTGAATCACGAAATGCAAATTATTTTTTTTATGGATATATGATTCAGTAATTGAATCCCTTTAATAAAAAATAAGTCATTCTAATAACCGCCATTTTGAACGTATACATATTTATTTAATAATTGTTCGATCAAATTTCGAAACATTTTTTGGAACACGAAAAATAATTCGTTACTAGATTTTTTGCATACATTTCGTACAAAACATTCGTTTTCGAGAATAGGATTCAAAAAAAATCGTATTGTTCTGAAAGAAGAAGAGAAAAAGAAAAATGAAACAATGCCAAACAAGATATTAATTATTGAATATCATCTAATTACAATTAGAATCGGCGAGACGAAAGAGGCAGAGAAAATATTTAAACATCATCATCGACCGGTTACGATCCACAAATCGATACGGTGTGGAATGCCCGAGGCATCGAAGGAAGTTTCGATTGAAATCAGTATCCGGTGTTGGTAGTTGGAAGAACGACTTAACAGCAACCATATAGTCAGGATTTCGATTTCAATCAAAGATTATATATACGAGTTCGTAGAAATTCCTGTGAAGGCCGATATACAAATAGCAAATCCTTAATTGAATATGGAAGCTATAGCTGATGCACGAACGAGATGAAATGATTTAAAGCCACGAAACAGTGGGAGCTTTATTGATTTAACATGCTTATGCATTAAATTATACGAGTGTCGTTTAAATTGTTTAAATTAAGACACGAGAGTGTTATCCTCGAAAATAAAATATTTATCTTTAAATATTAAATATTAATATGGAATATGGATATTTCCACGCGAAATATATAATTTGCAGTTGTGCAATTTTTTGGATTTACGAAATATTTGAAGAAGTCGTAATTTTTATATAAAGCCGTCCTTCGACTATATTCGTGTATAGCTGTATATTGTATGAAGGAGGAAAAGAAAAATATGAGAACAGTTGGCTGTTTGAAACAAAGCGTTGTAACTGGAAAAACAATGTTTCTTTCTACAAGCATAATAAAGATAACAGTGCACGGGCAATAAAGATGTCCAAGCAGTTTCAGATTATTTATCAGTGCGACACGTATATAAAAATATTGCGACTTAAAACAGAATTTCAACGTCTTTTTTTTTTATTTCTTTCACTTTTCGAATTTTTGCAATAATAAATGTAATGTATTTAACTCTTCGATACATACACGTCAACTTCTGACGAACATTCTTCAGGAATACTCACACATACCTCTACCATAAAATTTTTCAAAAATTAAATTCCTAAAAAATTGCAAAAATAGACTCATCATCGCCATCATTCAGTTCATCATCAATCGTTCGAAGAAACGAATCCATTAGGAGAGATCCATTAGAGAACGAAAATGGATTTATTATCATCTCAGCTACAATTTTCGACTCCTTATATCATTCAAGATATTATCAATAATGAATAATATTTCCACGGTTCAAAGAACACGTTCGAGTAGCAAACACCCGCGCAAGTAGCGACACCTTTGCTCGTCACGTTTATAAATATCAACGACATGGTAGCATACAGGATACACGATAAATACTTTTATGTTACGCGAGGCTGGCCGCGAAAATACATTTTTCATCCGACGTGAAACGTTGCTCGTAGCAAAAACGCACAGATACGACGACAAATGGAGTCGCGTCCGAGTTTTTCGCGCTCGCGCTATAAATCTAGAAGATGAAGTCATTAAAGGAACGTAAGAGCAGAGGCGCGTGTACATCCAGTCCTCCTTGACATTGAGCAGCCGCAAGTTCATTAGCATTGGCCACGGTTGAACGGATCTATTCGTTGGATCTCTCTGTTGGCGAATTGATTATTTCTCCTGTTATCAAATAAAAATAATCTTTTCGAGAATTACGAATTGGTGGTAGCGCGAATCGTTTCGTGGAAGAATTTTTTTAATTATGATTAGAGTAACGAGAAACACTTTCAATTTCGTACGAAATGAAATTGGCGTTTCTTATTCGTGAATCATCGCTTTATCACGAATTGAGATTAAAAAGATACCGTAAATTGATCTGTAAATAAGATTTTGTCCCCGCGAAAGTAAAGCCGTATAGTCGTTCAACTTCGCTTGCTCAACTTCCGTTCCTTTCCACGTTTCGCAAAGAATTTCGTCCCATTTACGATATCACAACAAATGATCGAATGCTCGAACATCATCTCGATTCTTATCCAAAACGACACAATTAAATTTCACGCGGCGAACGATTTCGAATCGAAGCGTACGACGGCCATGGCCACGCTCGTAAAATAAATCAAATCCAGCTTTCGCGGCGAATAACAGCACGACGAACACGCGATAAATCAGCAGCTGCGATAAATAATATGCAATAACGTGGCCGTTGCTGCTGTATTACGAAGCAACAAGCCCAACAACGCGAAATCCGAGTGTCGTAAAATCCAATCGTTCAGGCATTGTCTGCCTGCGATTATCAATAGTGGATAATTAACCGTGTCTCTCTCCCTAAATCGATATTAACGAATTATAAGATCGAAATTATCATTTCCAATAAAAATTAATTTCGAAGATAGAAATTAACATGTAATTAATTTCGAATTAATTAAGAAGATGTAAGAAGATCTAAGAAATTTAATCTTAATAATATTAATCCAAGTGACGCATAGTTTTATTGGGTTTGCATCTCCATCTCACTTGATACCTCGATAAAATTTCTTTTCACATAGATCTTCAAATTAGAATTATTTATAAATGGAGCTTAAAGGGATCAAGAATTTTTCTTGGCGATCTCGGCCAGTTCGGAGGATTCGATTTCGCGCGTCCTGTTACTCGACACTATGCGCGTGATGGTTGGATGGTTGCGTAACAGAACATCCACCTGCGGTCACTAGCTTGTACGGAGGAGAAGAATGTTGATCGAGCCGGCGTGTTTTTATTCGATTTTGCAGATCATCCACCGCGATCTCGCCGCGAGGAACGTGCTCGTGGACCACAACAAGCTGTGCAAGATCGCTGACTTCGGTATGTCCAGATTCGCGGACGGGGATGGAGAGGTGATCGAGACGAGACATGGCAGAAACGCGTTGCCGATAAGGTGGATGGCGCCCGAGTCGTTGATCTACTCGCTCTTCACCACCAAAACGGACGTGTGGAGCTTTGGAATCTTGATGTGGGAGATTGTCACCCTGGGTATGCATATATGTATATAATGATCTATTATTTCAATCTCTCGAATAATGTCGAAATTTATTATTCTTATTTTATTATTATCAAGAGGAATCCTTTCTCCCTCCGTTTCTTTCAACTTTTAGAACTAGATTTGCGATCGATTATTTTAATCTCTCTCCTAATATCGAAATTTCTACTTTATTATTATTAAGAAGAATTAAGAAGATGTTGTTTAAAAATTATATATTCAAAATTCTTTCTCTCTTCTTTCTTTCCTCACAACTTTCTAGAACCTTTTAGACACTAGATTTATGATCGTTAAGTTAGGTTTCTACTCGTGACTTTCCATCTTCTTTAAAAAAAAAGAAAGAAAGAATCTGACATCTCCATATTTCTACAATTCTAATTCTTCTTTCGACGAATGTCAATATCAGTTCGAAAGAGTATAGAATCTCTCTGGCTACGATATTCTCAATTTCAAATTGATCTCGTTATCGGCCTCGTCGTTGATATAGGAACAAATTCTTCGTTTACAGGTTCGACACCGTACCCGGACATGACGGCACGGGAAGTGATGCGGAACGTGCAGAACGGTTATCGACTGGAGAGGCCTTCGCACTGTCGAAGCGAGCTGTTCAGAGTGATATCCCGGTGTTGGCACGCCGATCCAGACAGGAGGCCGGAATTCCAGACGCTGAGAAGGGATCTGGCCCAGCTTCTCGAGGACAATATGAACGGACATTACGTGGACCTCGAGAGTTTCGCATCCGAGTGCACCGATTGAGCATTCATTTCGATTCAACCGAAATCCCTTGGAAATTATTTTCTGTTTCGCGCGTGGATCTAATATCGTTATCGATATTGGTGGACATTTGCGAGAGCGATGTTCAATTGAAACAACGCGAATACTTTTGAAATCGATTCGTTTATAAGATATCGACACTTAATCGATAATTGTACGAGTGGCGTGATGTTTCTGTTTATGTATGAGGTAGCCTGTTGCTGTTGGGGAGGATTGTAAACTGCGTTTCTTTTAACGCGACTTTTTACACGCTTTGAAAACGGAAAATGGAAAAGCAGTAAATTATGAAAATTTTTATATAGGTATTTGTATTATATAAAGAGGGATATTTAAATATTTGTAAAGAATCGTTGTACAATTGGAACTAGAGAATCCGTCCATGTTGTTCTAATTTTTTTTTTTTTTTTTTTTTTTGTATAAGGATTTTATATTTGGAACGAGGAAATTTCTGACAGAGAGAAGAGAGAGAGAGAGAGAGAGAGAGAGGGAGAGCATATGTAGATTTTATGTATTGTAACTTTTTGTAAAAGTTCTGGAACTATGACAATGCCCTGTTCTTCGAAGTAATAAATATTTTGAGATGGGTGCATACAAAGAAAAAGTGCTAATATGTTGAATATGAAACTCACGAGAGATGAGTTAAATATTAAAATATTTTGCATGAGATGCAAAATCAAGAAAGGACAGAGTGGTTGTGTGAATGGTTTTGGTTGGGTTGAAAGCCAAGATAAAACGAATGATCTAACAATGCAAATATGAAAATAGAATAACGTATGACATGTACAGTTAAAGATAAGAGCCGTTCTTCGCTGTTTCTTTCTGACAACGAGGAGAAAACATCTAAGATTCTTTTCTAAGTATTTCGTTTAGTATTATTGTAATGTATCTCTTCTCCTTCTTCAATCAATGCGCCAGTCGTCGAAGATTCGTTCCTATCGGTGTTTTTCGTTAATAGTTAACGATTTATCGATATAAAATAAAATGCTGTAAATTAAAAAAAACATATTGTAAAAAATGTAGAAACAAAAAAAAAAAAAAGAAATATCGTTTGCTCATAGATATATTTAACGAATAATAAAAAAAAAATTGCTCGAAGAAAAGCTCCGATAAACGATCAATTGCACAATTGCATCAAACATGAATCGAGTGACAACGTATGAATCGAGCGATCTTCATTTTTGCTCAAAAATCGCAAGATATTTCTAATAAAATTGTCATTGTAATTCTAATAAAGTCATTTCGTACAAAGTTAAATTAACATTTACTTTATTTCAACATTGAAAGAAATATAATGACTTTTCTAAAACTTTGAGCAAGGGTGTATATCGTTTTATCGTTGTGTATTATATTATATATTTTTCACTTCTTTTCCATTGTACATAAACTCACGTTTCAAACGCATCGTATCGATCAAAAAAAAAAATCTTGAAAAAAATAAAAGCGATCTTTTTCTATCGTTCCATCATAGTTATATCGATTATTGTAACAATAATTATTATTATTATTATTGTATCATCATTAAGCACGAACGTTTACGAAGATTTCAATCGTCGAGTTATATTCTTAATCATTCTAGTCTTTCTCGATGCGTATGGGGTGGCGATTGGTTCTCAAGCACGTGTAAATTTATCGTTCTGGATTGTGATGTGTTTTTTTTTCTCGTTTTTTTTTTTTTATATATGCGTATTAAAAACCGATCAAAGCCCCATCATTCGCGGTTGATTATTTTTATTAAGTTTTCTACGTCAACGTCGATTCAAAGTTCTCTTCGAGAATTTCAACCTCGCTTCCGTAATATCGAAGAGAAGCAATTATTATTTTAGATTTTATCGAGACGTTGCTCTGCGATTCGATTGTATATACACGTACTATTTTCCTATCTTTTTTTTTTTTTTTTTNTTTTTTTTTTTTTTTTGCCTATTGTTCTTTGTTACACTCCCGCCCCCCAAAAAAATGCAAGAATATTGTATTGTAAACTCAATTATTATAAGAAGTTTTTTTTTTTTTCGTCAGTAAACGTTGTCGTAAATCCCATATGAATTTTATTTTTCTTTCTACACTTTTATAAGAAATTTCTTCCTCCCTATATCTCTTGTATAGAAATATTTATTTTTTAATACTTTTCCTTGAGAAGAATTTTTTTTCCCTCGAATCCAGATTTCTTTTTTAATAAATTAGAGGAATATTTAAATAATAAATAACTCAAGCTGCGGCAAAATCAAGAATATTAATTAAAATACAAATAGTTTAAACGAACGAAAGATGAGTCGAGACGCACGCAATTAAAAATAGCTTTCGTTTAATTTAATATTCTCGAAGAAAAAGGGAAGGAAAGTGTTTTAATAGAACGTATTTTTGCATTTTTCACGCGAGAAGTGCGTGAATAATTGGCCGAGAATGCAGATCTCAATTAAAGTCCCGATCTCCCGTCGATTTAATTACGAAAACTTACGAACGAATTGTCACGGTGATATCGTCCTCCTCGTTTTCTTGTTTCTCCATTATTGCCAACCGCCGTGTTAATTAGCCTTCTTCCATCGCATTCCAAGAAAAATAAATGCATTCCAACGCGCCATTATCGCATCGATACATCTTTGAGTTTGATTGAAAATACTTCTGAATGGAAAATAGTAAAAAGTAAATTGGTAACTTTAAGCAAAGAATTTTAATCAATTTATCAATCGTTGGTTAATTGATGAATAAATTTATCATAAATATTAATATTGGAAATTTTTTTTATTCAAAATGAAAACGATTAGTTTTATCTATTTCGTTTACGAAGAACAGAAGTCAGAGTTATAGGAAATTTTATCGTGTGTAAATTGCATTTCTATGTTTGAGATTATTTTTTTTATTTTTTTTATTTTTTTTTTTTTTTGCTACTTTCCGATAATTTATTTCTTTGTAAGGAGAGAGATCTATTACAGTTTGATGCTTGTGATTATAAAACTTTCACCTGTCTCTTTTTTTCGTCTATCTGTATTATTTCACAAATTCGAACAGTAATTACTCTCGTCCACGATATCCGACTTTCTAAAGGATAATTCCAAAATCTTTCTTCGTAAGTATTTCTCAAATGAAACGAAGGAAAGAAGATTTGTAATGATTGAGAATAATAAGTTGAGCATTAAAGCATTGTCAATTCTTACAAGGATCAAAGAGTTTGATTAAATAACAAAATTCTTTTTTTAATTATAAAATCATATTTTGATTAAATCCAAACTTCTTTTGGTCAATGAAAATCTTATCGTAACAAGAACCAAGTCTAGAAAACAGGATTTCGTGAAATTCGATTCCATTACGGGATCCTCTCGTAAAATTTGCATAATTTAACTTCAACAGCGACCTTTATATGTTTTATATCTTTCCTCTCAAAAGTACCGTAACAAAATCAAAAGTATATATACGCATATATCATCAATTAAATTCAAAGCTTACAGAGAGCACAAGAATCGGTTAAGGAAAAGGAGAACTTTATACATTTAAAAATTATTGAAAATAATAATGAACCATTTATCCATGCAATCCAATAAATACAAAATATTTAAAGTTCGTGTCGTTCAACCAATTTAATTAGATTTAGCAAGAACGAATAGAAATATATTCGAGGCGAGTACAACAGAAGTCATTGAAAGCAGAATGATCGTAAAGAAAGCACGTAAACCGCAGGAGGAATCGTGAAACGTCTCCAATCATCCCCAAGAACTGTCAACGAGAATTGCGTGGACGGCATATGAACGTTCTGCAAGGTCCTCGATCCTCAGAGCTAGCCTACGTTGCAGCCAGCACGGGTATCGGGGTAAGGATCGTTATCGTAAATTGGATCGCATTCCGGAAATCTTGAAACAGCCGTAAAACGTCGAGACTCGTTTACAGTGAAGGGTAGTCCGACGATCGATCGAGAATGAGACTTAACTTTAATGGGAAAATTCGTATAAATTTTATTTGTTGTGTAAAGTGTAAAATAGTAGATTTAATAGATATAAAATTTAAAAGAAATAAATAAGATATATGATGGGTTTAAAAAAATTTATTCATAATAGATTAAAATCATAGAATTATCTTGAAATTGAAATATTATGTTCATTTAAATTTCAAGATATACAAAAAAATTTAGATTATATGGACAGAATATTATTTATACTATCTCTATCATTTAAGATCATGAATCAATCAACAAGTATTTTCTAATAGAAAATTCAATTTATTCTATGAATTAAAAGTAAATTGCGTTCCACTTTCGTTTGCGTCCAATTGAAATTCTAAATTACTAATTAATACTACATTTTCTTTTACAGAAATATTAACGAGCTGGGAACCCACATTTTTTGCCAATAACTACGTTTACGAATAATGTCAAGAATGCTTCAAAAAATACAACTGGCTGTGGATATCGAACAGTAATCTCTGGTTCTCCTGGATAATTTGCTGATAATACAAAAAGAACAAAATGGGAAAAAAGCGAATAAATCAAAGACAGACAAAATAAAAACAAGAAAGTGTGAAAAAAATATATAAAATGTAACAATAAAATGTATACTTGTTGTAAAAAAATATTTGCAATAAAATTAAAATTGTAAAAGAATTTGATAAGACTATTTATTAACTATTACCTACATATATTCCTATATTCCTATATTCTTATATATTCAACAACAAAAATAAAACATCAATTATGGACTCCACCAACAAAAAAGTCGAGAACCTAGTCAGAAACAAACACATTCCTATGACAAGAAAAATTTTCCGTGCCACCTCCTTCCTTGTCATATTCTCCCGTTTGAAATCGAAAATTTTGACGAGAAACTTTATAAAAATGCTGCCTGCGAAAGTTTGTAAGTGCCACCTACTTCCTTGTCATATTCTCCTGTAAGAAATCGAAAATTTTGACGAGAAACTTTATAACAATGCTGCCTGCGAAAAATTGTACGTGTTACCTCCTCTCTTATCATATTCTCCTGTTAGAAATCGAAAATTTTGACGAGAAATATTATAACAATTCTGCCTGCGAAAAATTGTACGTGCCACCTCCTCTCTTATCATATTCTCCTGTTAGAAATCGAAAATTTTTACGAGAAACTTTATAAAAATGCTGCATGCGAAAATTTGTATGTGCCACCTCTTTCCTTATCATATTCTCCTGTTAGAAATCGAAAATTTTGACGAGAAATATTATAACAATTCTGCCTGCGAAAAATTGTACGTGCCACCTCCTCTCTTATCATATTCTCCTGTTAGAAATCGAAATTTTTGACGAGAAACTTTATAAAAATGCTGCATGCGAAAATTTGTTCGTGCCACCTCCTTCCTCGTCATATTCCCCTGTTAGAAATCGTAAATTTTTACGAGAAATATTATAACAATTCTGCCTGCGAAAATTTGTAAGTGCCACCTCTTTCCTTATCATATTCTCCTGTTCGAAATCGAAAATTTTTACGAGAAACTTTATACAAATGCTACCTTTGAAAAATTCTGCGTGCCACCTCCTCTCTTATCATATTCTCCTGTTAGAAATCGAAAATTTTTACGAGAAACTTTATACAAATGCTACCTTTGAAAAATTCTGCGTGCCACCTCCTCTCTTATCATATTCTCCTGTTAGAAATCGAAAATTTTGACGAGAAACTTTATAAAAATGCTGCCTGCGAAAAATTGCACGTGCCACCTCCTTTCTTATCATATTCTCCTGTTACAAATCGAAAATTTTGACGAGAAACTTTATAAAAATGCTACCTGTGAAAAATTCTGCGTGCCACCTCCTCTCTTATCATATTCTCCTGTTAGAAATCGAAAATTTTGACGAGAAATATTATAACAATTCTGCCTGCGAAAAATTGTACGTGCCACCTCCTCTCTTATCATATTCTCCTGTTAGAAATCGAAATTTTTGACGAGAAACTTTATAAAAATGCTGCATGCGAAAATTTGTTCGTGCCACCTCCTTCCTCGTCATATTCCCCTGTTAGAAATCGTAAATTTTTACGAGAAATATTATAACAATTCTGCCTGCGAAAATTTGTAAGTGCCACCTCTTTCCTTATCATATTCTCCTGTTCGAAATCGAAAATTTTTACGAGAAACTTTATACAAATGCTACCTTTGAAAAATTCTGCGTGCCACCTCCTCTCTTATCATATTCTCCTGTTAGAAATCGAAAATTTTTACGAGAAACTTTATAAAAATGCTGCCTGCGGAAATTTGTACGTGCCACCTCCTTCCTCGTCATATTCTCCTGTTCGAAATCGAAAATTTTTACGAGAAACTTTATACAAATGCTACCTTTGAAAAATTCTGCGTGCCACCTCCTCTCTTATCATATTCTCCTGTTAGAAATCGAAAATTTTTACGAGAAACTTTATACAAATGCTACCTTTGAAAAATTCTGCGTGCCACCTCCTCTCTTATCATATTCTCCTGTTAGAAATCGAAAATTTTTACGAGAAACTTTATAAAAATGCTGCCTGCGAAAAATTGCACGTGCCACCTCCTCTCTTATCATATTCTCCTGTTAGAAATCGAAAATTTTGACAAGAAACTTTATAAAAATGCTGCCTGCCAAAAATTGCACGTGCCACCTCCTCTCTTATCATATTCTCCTGTTAGAAATCGAAAATTTTGACGAGAAACTTTATACAAATGCTACCTTTGAAAAATTCTGCGTGCCACCTCCTCTTTTATCATATTCTCCTGTTAGAAATCGAAAATTTTTACGAGAAACTTTATAAAAATGCTGCCTGCGAAAAATTGTACGTGCCACCTCCTTCCTTGTCATATTCTCCTGTTAAAAATCGAAAATTTTGACGAGAAACTTTATAAAAGTGCTGCCTGCGAATAATTGTACGTGCCACCTCTTTCCTTATCATATTCTCCTGTTAGAAATCGAAAATTTTGACGAGAAACTTTATAAAAATGCTGCCTGCGAAAAATTGTATGTGCCACCTCCTTCCTTATCATATTCTCCTGTTAGAAATCGAAAATTTTGACGAGAAACTTTATAAAAATGCTGCCTGCGAAAATTTGTACGTGCCACCTTCTTACTTATCATATTCTCCTGTTAGAAATCGAAAATTTTAACTAAACACTTTATAAAATTGATTCCTTCAAGAAATTTTTAGGGTTTCTTTTTACTTATAGTATTTTTCTTTTAAAAAATGAGAAATTTTTAGCTTGTATCATTGTGGAAGTGATTTTTATTAATAAATGCTTATGTTCTGTGTGAAAATTGTGAAAAAAAATGATTTTTGCTAAAAATTTCCTAATTTTTTTTTTTTTTTTTTTTACGTGGGGGAAATCCTCATAGGACACCTCGGTCTCTTTGGGGGAAGAGACCGAGGTAGTGCCGGACTCTTACCGGCTAAAACCCCCACGGTGGCCTTCTCTGCGCTTTTTGTGAGCACTGGAATATGTTTTCAAACATTTCCGGTACTTCCTGCGCTTTTTCTCTTTTTGGTACTTTCCGGAGGGCGGATGAAATTGCCCCAAATGTTTTTAGCGACGCCGAGACCACACCGGCGTCGCTACCTACTCAAACCGCCATTGACACAAACCCCCTCTTGTGTCAACGGCGGTCTCTCGATCCTCGCTGAGATTTCTGTGAAGTATCACGAAAATCCTAGCGAGGATCGAATAGTTACCAAACTAATAATTTTACGAAAAATTTCGCGAGCCACTTCTTCTAGAAATATATTCTCCTAATTAAATGAAAAAATAAATAAAAATATTTCGTAGAAGAATTTTTGATTATGTTATCAATTTTGTAATAGGAGAATATAGTTCAATAAGAGATGGCACATTTAAAATTTTTTGTGTATAATGAATTTAATGTACTTACCTCTTAAATACTTACATTTCCATACTTATCGTATTAGGGTTTCATGTTTGCAAGGACTAATTTTTCTATCATTTTTTTAATTCTATCATTTTATTTAATTCTAGTATTTATCCGTTTTATGCTTACCTTTACATGCATTTCTGTTTGAGAATTTATATTTCTAAAAATTTCCTTATCGAAATTTTATATTCAAGACATAAATTTTTAAATATGTTTTTCCATATCAATTTTATTATTGAAATTTTCAATGTAATTTTGAGTTGTTGAGTGAATTTATATTGAATTTTTTAAATCAAGAATACATGTAAGAGTACATTATAATTACGTACAATCTTTTTGCGTTTCTATACATTTTATACCCGAAACATAATAATTTTACTAAAAGTTTTATAAATAGTATGATAAAATATTCAAGAAAATTCAAGTTATACTTACATTAATAAATATCTAAAATTAGTTCTCTTATCGCAAATTAATCACAATTTTATTCACAATTGTATCACTTCGAATATTACACTAGCTATTCATTTTCATGCAGAATATTGCCAATTACAAACTATAACAACGAATCTTGAATGCTTTAGAAACTTCCTCCGAAAACCTCATGCGAGAGTGACGAACGTTGATTGCGGGTTTAACTCGAAACCATTCGATTCGGAAACGATTACTCGCTTTCACCCTCCGATTCTATCGACATGCACCATTAGAAATGTATGTAAAACGAATCCCGAAGCGCTGCAAGAGAAGAAAGTTTATTTACACGAGAATATGGAGCACTATATTTCACAATACATAATAATTGTCGTCCCTGTTTATCCATTATCATCTATATACGTGAATATTTATCAATTCTCTATATATTTACTATGTCAGTACATCGACGTCGATTAACCCATTACACTCAACTTTCTAAAATACTCTAACTTTCTCGCCACGAAATCAGACCGATCTTCTATATAAACATATCAAAAACATAATAAACCCCTTAAAAATATTAAAAATATCGTTTACGTCAACGTCGTTTGATCCGGTAAAAATAAGAAAGAAGGGAAAGGGATAAGAGGGAACGACGATCGTAGTTAGTGAATACGTCACGTGTCATCGCTTCGAGGGTGACGCAGGGGACCACCACTCTGCCCTTACTTCCCTCGACTAAAGCCGTATCCGGTCGACGAGGAGGAGGAGGAGGAGGAGGAAGAGGAGGTCGCGAGTGGCCGACTTCTTCCTCCTCTCCGAATACACGCTTATCCGGCCGTCCGGTTTTCTCGGTCACGGCTCGACGAAGGGGGAACCACGCAGGACCCGAGGCACGCTCGTTCCTACATTATCCCCACGTGAGAGCCAGCGGGCAGGCATCGGGCCCGCGATTCTTCTTCTTCTCCACCGCGTCTCCTTCCATCTGATGAAGACGAGGAGCGTGCACAGGCCGGATCCAGAGGTCGGCGCGCCTCCACGAGCGCACAATTTTTCGTCCTCTCGAGCGAAACGTCGTTGTTCCGCGATCGTGTTGCCCGCTTCGTAGACGAGGATACGAGAAATCTCTAACGTCGATTAATTGGTTAAAGGGGAGACTTTGTTTGGGTCGGAGGGATCGGAAGATTTTTTGGTTCTCTTCTTTTTTTTTTGGGAGGAAGTTGATGGGCGAATGATCGAAGAGGGATGTTCTCGATATTCTCGACGATTTGAATTGGGGGTCGAGAAATTAGAATTTTGGAAATATTTTGTGTCGAGTATTAATTGGATTGATCGAAATAGTTGGTGGTGATAGTGAATGTGGTTTTGTGGATTGGAAGGAAGAGGACGGAAGGTTTTGATGAGAGATCGCGCGAGGGAAGAATGATGGCGCGAGGATTGCTTTTTCTCACTGTGGTAAGATAATTATCAATTTTTATTAACCGTAATATTGTTAATAAAAGTAGATATTAATATGTGGATATTGTACTATTTCCAATTTACGAATTCTACTTTCATCAATTTGTCAGAGATTAATTAAAACGTATCTCATATTTTTATAATCACGAGAAACTTTCATATGGACTCGATCCATAAACGACGAATTACAAACGTTATAAAAATGATTGATGCAAGAAAGTTTTTAATATATTACATTAATGATTCATAGAAGTAATACTTTCTTGAAAAATTTCTAAGTAAAAATTCTTAACAAATATATTATTCGAATAATAGTTAATAATCAATTTGATATTACACAAAATTTTAAATTTGTTTCATTATTTATCAAACTTGTAATCTATAAACGAAAATCTTACAAATTCTTCGTCAAAATTTCGAACGAAATCTCGATATTTTCGTCCAGAAAAAAAAGCTGAACTCGCATCTGTCGTAATTCTCTTTATGTAAAGTGGAACAACCTTTGCGTGGCCTTGATCTGCTAACCCAGTGGAACCAGGAAAAGTAACTAGATTCCCTTAATTGCCTCGAATTCCCTCTCACATGCTAGTGAAAGATCTATCGAAGATTAAAAATACCAAATCATTGATCGAACATGCTAATAATTTTCTACTAGTTATCATGTTTGATCGATCAATTCACTCTTCTCTTCGTTTTCTATCCTGTCAGAGAATTAGATTTTTCAAATACATTTTTTTTTTTTCTATTCGTCATTGGCTCGTGTTTGATTGATAAAATTACATATAATAGGATGCAATTTATGTGTAAGTACTTTGTTATGTGTATGATTTCTGGATGATGCGATTTAAAAAAAAAAAAAATGTGTGAGATGACGTGATAAATAATTCGTGAAAATAATATTGTTGATTATAATTTTACAATGACACTTTCAATTTGCTTTAATTTTATTCTGTAAAAAATATATGATCAAATTTTATCGAAAGTAAAGTAAATAGATAAAGATAGATATTTATAAAATAATAATAATAATAATAATACGAGTTATAAGATATATACAATATAATTTAATTTTTATAACTTTTTCCATACTTAAAAACTACATATATGATTCTCTTTGAATTTAACTCAATAATTACTTGGTATATCAAGTTTCATTGAAGATTCGATCCAATATATCGGAATAAAAATCAATAGATCCAGATTTATAATTCACGAATGGATAACATCTTAGATCGATAAGCATGGTGAAAGTTGTCGATGATAATCTAAGCTTCAAGAAAGTTTTGTAACTGGAGAATATTATCATTGTTGATATAACTCGTAATAAAAAAAAAGAGAAAAAAAGATCTTGCACGAAGGAAATCTTATAAAAGATCTTTACACGCGTATGTTGATAAAAAGTCTCTTTTATTATTGTATTATTATTATTATTTTTTTCTTTTTCATTCACGCGCAGATATTTAAATAACGAAGCTCCTCCTTCTAAATTTGTAATTCATTATATTATAATGCGAAAGTTGATGATTTCGTAGCTAATTACAGAGTTTGCAAGTTTGATAATACTATAATTAATTTCAAGGAATTAAAAATGAGGATAATGTATTGCGTGTACATACTTAGATAATAATAATTCTTTATCTTCATCAACTTGATGCATATGACGACTAATCGAATTAACATCGAATCGAATTTGAAAAATCCTTCTTTATTCACTCCCTATATATATAATCTATAGATCATAGAGATCTATTGTATCTATTCAATTCCCTAATTCCGTAAAGATACGAAAGGAAAAATGAAAGGAAGAATATTGATCAAATAGTAGAAGGAAACGCGTTACACGAGTTTCAGAAAAATAATCGTGAAAATGGCAACTGTGTTACGAAATATCCTGAAAAATCGTGCGTTATTTGCCAAGAATTGATGAACATCTTAGATATGAAAAAAAAGAAGAAGAAGAAGAAGAAGAAGAAGAAAAAAAAGATCACTCACAGTGAAATCGTACCTCCTCCTCCTCCTCCTCCTCCTCCTCTTGTTGAGCATCATGGTTACTAGGTCACCGCCGATTGCAAACGAAGAAGAGGATATGTTGGAATTTCCACGTTTATGGTTATTTCATGTAACACGATCGCGAGAGTCTTTTCATGTCTCGTTACATCTTCCACTTTCTGTATTGGCAACGTTAACGTTTCTCGCACCCACATTTCGTCTTAATCCTGATCCTCGAAAAAATTCGGATCTCTGTAGGAATAATAGAATAATAATAGTGGAGATATATTCTTATCGAGAGGACAAATAACACGATAATGGAATCGTTAGTTGATAAGAAACTGATACTGTACAAAGTATATTTGATCTTTCAGACAAATGATATAGATAATAAATGATCTTTGGTACACGTAAACTTGACGTTGGATAGATCTTGGACCACTTTTGTGAGACCACCCATGATCGATGCGATACGATCTGTCGTATCAATATGAGAGAAATCGTGAATAAATATCGTTAATAATCAAAAGAAGATACTCGTAACATTGAAAATAATCAATTGTTATGAGATATAATTTAAAAATGTAATATTTGTTATAATTCATATTAAGATTTTATGGTTTTTTTTTTTTTTTTTTTATTTTTAGGATAATATCACTTGACACTCGATACTGCGAACAGGTGTTTGATATTATTAAGAAATTCATATTTTAGAAAGTACTATTCTATCCAAGATCCTGCATCAACGTGAAAGTTACACAACCATTCATTCAAATACAGAGGAATTGGGTAAACTTGATAAATGAAAAGTATTATAGATCCTATGCATCGTATTGTCATCGATTTATATAAATCGATAAACGATAAATTTATTAGAAATTTTAAAAATTCAACTCGAAAAGTGGCTACTCTTTCTCTCAAATATCCGGGAGGACAGAAATTCCATTTCACCTAGAAAACGTTATCAAATTTTAATTTTACATTTTTAATAAATCGCGAAACGAAAAGAATTCCACGTGAATGAATAATTCATCATCGGTCAAAATTATTAATCTCGTATCCAATTCTTGTTAAATGCACGCACAGTCGATTCCATTTTTTTTTTCTCTCTTCTTCTTCTTCTTTTTTCTTCTTTTTTTTCTCGAAACTATCCATTCCAATTCGAAACGCGCGACTTTCACCTGTACTAGGCGGAATCGTATCCGCTATTTTATCATTTCTCAGTTGGGCGAAAAATCGGCGTAATTTCACTCGAGATCGACACGTGCCCCGCTCGTTGAATCGGTGTTTTCACGACGATTTCACGAGTGTTACGCGCCGTCACGTTACAACGTCCACTTCCGGTTTAGGGGAATTAACGTTTCCACCTAGATCGAGATCTCTTCCGCGATATACGCGAGATCCAGAAGCTCGCGTATACGTTTCCTTTCGCGATCAATTGTTTCTCGATACAAGAAGAGAATAATCGCGCCATTGTGTCTGGAAAATTTTATTCGATTACAGGTTGCGAATGATGAGAGCGAAACGATCATCTGAACGAGATAAGGAACAAAAAAAAAAAAAAAAAAAAGAAAAAACGGAAGAGAAGTACTGTCTGAATGAATAGCGTTCTCTTCCTTCGTTTATATAAGTTTCATTCAATAAATTTTGTGAAAGGGGAAGGGAGAATTAATTATAGGTTTTATTCATCTGAAAATGACACGTGATATTTAATGTGAGAGACGAAGGAAAGGGAAAAATATGTTCATTCGAATGAATTCTGTGTTTTTAGTATGGAATAAAAAAAGAAATTAATTATAGGTTCTGTTCATCTGAAAGTAACAACACGTGATATATTGTTGTATACGTAAAAAAGAAAAAAAAAATTATGAATATTCTCTTCCTTTGTTTAAATAAATATCATTTAATAAATCGTGTTTTATGAAGGAATGAATAAAAGGAGGAAGAATTAGTCACGTTTACGAATCTGTAAACATGTTTAACGTTTGATTTAACGTTTGCAATTAATATTCATACGTATGGTTTGTCCGGCTTAAATCAATCGTTAATGAGAAATATAAAAATTTACGATCACTCGCATAAAATTTCATAGTCCACGGTTAAAATTTTGTATTGAATTAACAAACCTTTACGACGGGAGTCAATAGAGATATTAATCGACATTCTATTCTTTCAAAATGTTCAAATTAAAGAGAGAGAGAGAGAGAGAGAGAAAAAAATCGTAGGATAGGATAAATTTTATTCGAAAAGATTATTATTATTCAAAAACACTCTAAGCGCAATTTCATATTTATTATATATTTATACGTTTAAATGGAAATCGAAATCTAAATACCACGCATAGCATAGAGAGCGCGATATAGAACGTTATGGAAAGTAAATTAATTCGTCGGATGAAAATATAATTGATCTCGTGAGAAGATAGATAATATATTTAAAGATAATATATTTAATAATAAAAACGCGCGATTTCTTTATGCGAGAAAAATTTCGACGCGATAACAACGAGATTCGTCTTACTTTTTCAGGCGTTCGTGCTACTATCCTCGATCGACGTGAGGGCCGAGAAGAAGAATCCAAAGGACAATGCGACAAAGCTCGATAATGATCGGAAAGAAAGTAACGAGACGGATGTCACGTTGATGAGCGACGATCTTAAGAACAGGACGGATCAAGTACGAGAGAGCGTGAGCGAAATAAATTTCTAAGTACTTTCTTAAGTAACGCTTAAACGTCGAGTTGGCCGGGTTAATTGCAATTAATTTAACGTGTTAAACGTATCGTTGATGGGAAACGTGAAAGGATAGATTCACCACTATACTCATCCATGTTTATTAGAGAAATTGACGATCGTGGTTCTCTTCGAATTTTACTATACCTTCCATGGTGTAATAAAAATTAATTTGAAACCGTGTAATTTGAAGAATAATTATTTTAGAGATGAGATTGTTGAGATTTAGAAGAAGAATTATGTATTTTCCTGTCAAATTCGATAGAGATTGGAAAAGGTTCGTGCCCTGCTGAGCAACGGAAGCCGACAAAATGGCAGCAGGGAGCTTGTGCTACCTAGAAATATGGACATTGTCAAGATAGTATCCGATGATGCCACTGGCGACGAGGAATCGGTGGAAGAATTACCCGAGGTAAGTGATATCGCGAATTAATTATTCGAAAAAGAAATTTTTTTTTTCCAATGAAATTTGTCAAAGAATTAATTGTCAAAGCAAATTACAACAAAGATTTACAAACTTAGATTCGCGAAAGAAAAATACTTGTTTATTCTCCATTCTATGCCCCACAATCGATCCTTTTCTGAGGATGATGACGCGATGATTATAAATCTTGCATCCGTCCTTTATCGGCTTAAGATGAATCTTTTATTTATTCATCTCGACGACGAAGTTTCAACACCTTGTAAGGGGAAGTGACTCGTTTTGTACAAATCGTAAATATCGAGTAGATGATTTAACTTCGACTATGTTTGTAAGGTTCAACGTACCTTGTGAATCAAATAAGGAAATTTCTGAATCTTGAAATTCTTTTTAAATACGTTTCCTCCAGAGTCGATATCATTGTATCTCGTACGAGAGATCGACGACTGTCCGCCTCGTTACTGGGAAACACTCTTAGAAAGTCACGTTTGGAGCCCCTTTCTATCGTAAATCACATCGAGGCGTACAATTTTGTCACATATGAGCGCCATTCCATATAATTATTTTCGGCCTCCAACTTTCTGCTCTTTAACTTTATTCGCAAAAATCCGTCCTAGGACGAAACAAGTTCGCCGTTATACAGATTTCTAAAATTATTACATACCTCTTCTTCGAACGTCACGTTTATAAGAACGTATATCTCCGTATAAAGCGAAAGACTCGTTAATTAAAAATAATGAATAGTTTAATAGTCTAGAAAGAACGCATGTTATGTTACGTTTCTTCGTCTCTTCTGATCCGTGAAATTTTTCAGGGGAAAACTTTTATTTGAAATGATAGGATTTATTTTCTTCCATGAACACTTTCACGGAAGAAATCTTTATCAGCGATGTATTTATCGTCATTGCTGCTCGTAAGGATCACGGCCAAACCTATGTAAATTTCTCATATGATGAGACTTTCCTCTCAGGAAAGTTAATCAGAAATCAGGTTAAAATGTATACGACTGACATGCGTTGTTAAGCGTTGATCGAGATTTCTCCACCGATAAACTGAAATTGAAATTTACGTTTAAATAAGAGAAATAAGAGAATCCACTTAAGTAACGATATTATCTCAACAATTTCACTAGGCATAGAAAGAATTTTAATTAAAATTATCTTGACATGTGATATTTTTATATTATTTATTTACAGCCGCAAGAATTGAAAATCGTAAGGCCCAATTTAAGGAAACGACCCAGTTATCGACCACCTCCAAGAAGACCAGCACCTTTAAATCGGAGGAACGTTTTCACAGGTTATTGAGATAAATAAAATAATAATAAAAATTCGACCAACAATTTCCAATTGTATTATAACATTCGATGAAAAAAAAAAAAAAAAAAAAACAATTCGCAGATCTATCCAGATCACCATCCCTGATAAGACCATTTAGACGACCCACGGAAACAAAAAAACGAGATCCAACCGAGAAGGAATGTACTTTCTTCACAAAGACAGTCTGTCTCGAAGCTGTTGACTATCCTCAGTAAGTTTCCACTTTCCTTCTCTATTTACTATTACGCAATTAATCCATTTGATCCCCGCTCAAAACTTGAACTTTCTCTGAATGAACGACAATAATTCGTAACTTAATTAATCGTTTCACAATGAACGTAGAAACGTAACTCGTTAAAAGCGGAAGAAAGCGCTTTTTCTCTCTTTCTCTCTTTCTCTCTCTCTCTCTCTCTCTCTCTTTCTCTTTCCTGTAATTCGAATTGTTCGAATTGCACAATCCTGGTTTCGACTTTCGTATTCCCATAACCATTTAATTAGGGAATTACGGGTTCGAAGATGAGGGAGGAAGTTATGAAAGGTACGATCGACTTTCTTTTCCTTTCCTCTCTCTCACGTTTTGTATCGAATCGTGAGACGGATTATTGTTGTTTGCAAGAGTCGAATTATTTTATATCACGTTAATCGAAATCATTTTCAGCGAGGCCATCATGAGAAGTTTGAGGAGCAACAAGGAGATGGTCGCTGCCTTGTTGACTGACTACAAGTCGCAAGATTTTGACGACTCTGCCGAGACTCTTCCGGTTGCATTGCCTTTGGAAAATAAATCGTACGAGAATCGGTACGAGAATAACGAAATTAGAAGGTAAGACTATGTATGCAATTACACGTTAGTAAAATATATACGGATATACATGCCCCTTGCTGAATGGCAACTGCGTCGACAACGGTGTAAGACTCAATAATATTGAATTTTAATATTTATGAGAAAAATATTAGAAATTTAAAAAAAAAAATACTTAGATACATAGAATGTAAACTCAATAATTAGGAATATCGAAATGTTTGATTCTTTTATACCTTGAATTATTTTTCTTTATATACAAATAAAATTGCATTTCTCTTATTTAATTTTAGGAGATCAGATTTGAATCCATCGTTCGAAAACGTGGAAGAGGGTTTCACGTGTCCATCGGTGATCAAGTACGCGCGTCCACAATTGGCAAGAGCTGCTTCCGGTGTTTGGAAATACATAATAAACACTGGGGAGCACACGCAAACATTGCGTTTAGAGAAATGCTCGTAAGTTGGATTAATTTACACGAGTTGTTACGTAAAAATCAATATAATCCGGCATAACATTTTCATCGACTTACAAGTTAAACTCTTTAGCCACGGTTAGCAATAAGAAGCAAAAAACTTCCTATTTAGTCGGTCGAAGAAGCGAGCGTTACCTCGACTATTAGTTCCGTTGATTTGTTTCGAATCGAAACTTTCTCGTAAATTTTATCGATGTATCTTCGCTCTAACTTTAGAAATTCAATATCTATTCTGTTACACGCCATTAAACAAAATATCTTCTTTGTGGCGTCGAGCAAAGCAATTCAAGCAAGTAGAATCGATTCTGATCCATCACTACGATTCACGATTCATGTATCATCAATAAATTTATTCTTCGTTTAATATTAAAAAAAGAGAGAGAGAGAGAGAGAGAGAATTGAATTCTAATTTCAAATTTATCATTTAAAATTCCATTTTCCAGGAATCCAGAAACGAGCTGCGCTTTCATATCCGAAAATTATCGTTCTTCCTGCTCGCAAGTGTACAATTATCACAGGCTTCTAACGTGGGACAACAAGTTGGGCCTGCACATGGACATTTTCAAAGTGCCAACTTGTTGCAATTGTCACGTGCACGGTTACGCGGAAATTTTCCCACCGCATCAAAAGGATCAACCCGCGAGGATCAAGGAATCCTTTCCTGGCTCCGATTTCATAACCAGCGAGCAGAAAGACGATTTCGAGGAATCGTCCTCGAAGCTCAATTATTTCAACAAGTTTATTTCATCCAGTAATTTCGATTCCGGTACGTTGAAATGAAACAGAGAGAATTGATTTTTCCTGTTTGAAGTTTGTATTATAATTATAAGACATATATCTACAACTTTGTAGTCTCGAGTAGCAAGAAGCCTGGGATAGATACTGCACCGAGTCGACCAACGTCGTTCACGCTCCCTGTAAGAACGAGACAGAACAAGAAGCCTTCGGCTACGAGTTCGAGGCCGTTCGATAAATTGCCCCAACAGCATGCACCTAATACCAGAGCACCGGGATACACTGGATCTTTATTGAAATCCAGACCAAACAGGGCTCCTCCCAATAGGCCACCTTACAGAAGGGAGTCTTACATCGAAGATCATACCGAAACTGTGAACAGCACCATTTTAAACAGGTAATATTTGTTAGTGTTATTGGAAAGGGTTGTATTTAAAAAAAAAAAATAATAATAAGAAATCGTGAATATGCGTAGATATAGCCAACCGTACGATTTGGAAATGGACGCCACGTCGAGGCTACAAAATGGCGGTTTCGATGACGAGTACCAGGAGCCGCAGAGGCGCGTCAATTACAATTACCATCCGATTATCGATTTTTTCAGACCGGAAGCGCTGCAGTTGCAGTCGTCTGAAACCACGTCGATGTCGGGACAAAACGATTCCAATTCGTGGAAACCGATGATTGCATCCTGAACAACGTTCCCCATTTTTCGGAGTACCTGATCTTTTCTTTCTTCCCGACCAGTAATAGAAGCGAAAATGTTAAAGCGAAAGTGTTATATTGAAAATAGATATTACATTTCGCAGCTTCGTAGTTTCATAGTCGATCTTACGTAAAAGTATTCGTATTCGTTAGTGAACGAATTCATTTCACAAATGTAGCAGCGTAGTCTTTTCATCTTGAGAACAATTGGAAAATGCCGGATCGTTTTTTTTTAACTCGTTTTTTTTAACCCTCTTATTAAATTATTCTCTGTACTCGAGAATAAAGGAAATAAAGGAAAAAATTGTAAATTCGATTATTAAATTAAATTAACAATCGATCACAGTCAGCAAATCATGTTCGAATCATTTTGAAGTATAGTATTATATATTATATGTGCGTATGCATCGTGATAGAGATGTCTCGTTGATGCTCTCGTTGAAATTACTCTCGTTTCATCGTCGCTCATTGTATTATAATTATAACGGTAGTAGGATGTTTAACACCCGTATAAGTAATTACATAGAACCACAATGTTGGGCAGGTGCAATTGAGAACACATCGTTGTTAAGTAACGTCGCTCGAATTTTTATCGTATTTATTACTCTCTACTTTTTTATTATTTATATTATATAAATGATTCTTATTATTATAAAATGTTAATCGTCCCGTGAACGATCAAATAAATAATTCAACTCGGCGAATTTCCTTTCTTTCTTTCTTTTTTTTTTGTCTATTAAAATTGCATTACTCTCCACCAAGGAACAAAACTTTATCCCTGTTACTAAACACCTCCTACTTTTTATCTCACAATCGCCTTACACAATAATACTCGTTTCGAATAATCATTCCTTCCCGTCCCAAATCATTTCTAAAATTAAACCGTATTTTGTACGTTATACAGCATTTACAATATTACTTTAAGCGTAATATTTCTAAATTATTTCCACTCTTGAGATTGTTCGTGGCACGTAAAATATTATAGAAATGTAAAACTCGGCGTTGATTCGCCAATTACGATGATGTTAACGTTAATTTCGGGGGAATGTTGTTGTGCTAGCCACAATTCAAGAGCACGTTTCGCTTAGCTCGCTCGTCTGTAAATCGTTTGTTTCGCTTGCCAAGCTTCTGCGGAGGCAATTGCACCAGGCCTTTCCGCGTCGATCCGCGAACCGTGTCTCCCGAGCCACAGTTTTCTCCGCTTCGCTGCCTCCGGATGGAACGTTATCGAGAGCCGTTGGATTTAAAAAAAAAAAAAAACGAAGCTAACAATGAAATTCAAACTTGATCATCATTGTTTCTAAGATTCTACGTTCCTTTTTTTTTTTTTTTTTTTTTTTAACTATTTTTAAATATTCACAGAGGAAATATGCGATTAAGACGATATTAAAGAAACTTTGTTCTTTTTCACTGATTTCGAGGCCACGCGTCCTCAATAAATATTCAATAATAATCTCAGAGGAGATACGTGATTAGTGTTTGCATTAGAATTGAATGTAATAATTACTGAGAATAGTTCATTCAAGAATTCTATTTCTGTAATATCTATCATTCGATTAGAAACATTGATTAGAAGTAAATTATTTAATATTTTCATCAAACGAGGAATAATTATAGAATTAATTAGCATATATGTTCAAATCATCAGGAAAATGAATAATAAAAACTTCTAATTTATCTATTTTTTTATTAATCGCTTATTACAAAGTGGTGGCAAAGAATTCTTAATTAGAGGAGAAGACAAGATTCTCCAATTAATGTTCATACTATATTCTGTATATTCGTCATATTCGTTCGAAAGTGCACAGAAAAGCGTGAAATAAAGCGTGTCGTGCGATCCAATTTAGACGAAAATCGGCAGAAAGTGGCTCAGAAGAAAGAAAAAAAAAAAAAAAAGTATCCATACGATTAACGATATCCACTGGAATTTCTTTATTTTTTTCCCCTCTCCAGTGAAACGATCCATCTCAAGGGGCTCAATCGAGAGTGACAGAATCGCTTCTATCGGCTCTGCACGGTCCCGTGAACAACGTGACGCTTCAAACCCTACTTCTGCCTTTCCGTTCCGCTGGAAAATATAAATTAGACCAGGTGGACCGTGCCGAGTGCAGTTCGATGTAAGATCCTAATCGAAAATTATTGGAAACTTATTCGTTCGAAGAATAGAATTCAATGAGAATTCTGAGCACGCTCGAGTTTCATTCGTTCCACGAACTACCTTCATGGAATTTTCTCAATTTTGATCGCATCGAGGAATATGCGTTTTAATTACTTTTAATCTTCCTCGACGGTGATAACTCGTGGTGAATACAGTGATGCTTTCTCGCAATTATTCGGTGTGACAACAATCATTGATCGTGCAATGGCAAACGCCCAATAACGAGATGAATCAAGTGTTGTTAATATCGTTGCTGGTGTCGGTTTTCGTCTCTCAAGGGAAATCGGTGCAGTTGGATGCGTACAATTCCGATCGAGGTCCGAGAAACGACAGCAAGCAACAACAGGCCAGCGTCCCCAAAGATGAATCGGTTATCGTGCAATCGGCCACTGTTCCTCAGAAAGATCCGCTTCAATCATCCGAGACCGTGGTGCGCAACAGGCTTAAAAACCCATCGGATGACGAATCAGAAGATTCTTCTTCTTCTTCTTCTTCTTCTTCTTCCTCAGAGGAAGAAGAAGAGCCCGAAGGCCCACCTGACCACGTCATACCTTACTCGGACCACGAAGAATCTAGAAACGTTCCAACGAAACCTAAATACATTGCTCCAGGTGATTGGGCCAAGGTGCCCAAGGATAAAAAGATCGACCTAGAATTTGTACCTAGAAAAGTGTACGCCCAGGTGAGGAAGATCGACACGTATAGGAAATTGCCGCGAAAGAAGGCGATAGAGAATGCAGAATCAGATGAGGAGAAGGCAAACGCGGCAAGATTGAGGGAAGTGGTGAGAAATACAAAAGTGAACACGGTGTATACCGAGGAAGGGTATGAGGACTCCGCTTACGATCATGCTGGACACGTCAGAGATGCTGATTTTAAAGAAGGATACGACAGAAAGCTTCACGATCAATTGGATGTTAGGAGGAAGTCTGAGAACGATGACGATGATGATGATGATGACAAGGATGATGATGAGTCGGAAAGTAAAAAAAGTACGAAGAAAAGTGGAAAACATGAAAAGGTTCGATCTGAAGAGATCGAGGAACAGGATAACAGTGATCGTTACGAGACGAGCACGAAGATAGACGATAATGGTTTCGTGGATCCAAAGTTTGTCGCTGAGAAAGGAACAGAAAAATTGCAGAAGGATATAGAAAGAGAAGCTGAAGAGTTGGAGAAAGGAATTGAGATAAGTAAATTGGGGAAAGTAAGGGTAAAGAGTGGTAGAGAAGTGTTGGCCGAATCCAGGAAACGTGATGATTATAAGAGAAAAAATAATAGGAGGAGGAAGATGAACGAGGAGGATGATGCCACGGATCGTGGATTAGAAGTTACAACTTTGAGAAAAAGTTTGGAAAATTGGACTGAAGAGTCTTTGGAACCGTACAGGTACGAGGTTGAGGGAAATTCTTCGTCTGATGTTGATTCGATCAATTTGAAAGGTATTGGGGAGGATCCAACGACTATCAGCTACAGTCAACTCTTCTGGAATTATTTTAAAACGAAAATGGAAAATCAAGTAACTACGACAGAACTTCCATTGATTCTAGAATCAACAACTTTGAGCCCAAATAATTTAAAAGCTTCGTTAGGGGTGGGAAATATTTTATCATATTCCGTTTATCAAGGAATCACGACGTCTCCTCCAACGATCGAATCTGGAATTTTTAATCCACCACCAATTGTCCAAGATCAAACGAGATCTCAGATCGATTCAGAATATTCCAAAATTAATGGACAAGATAATCGATTGTTACCTTTAGGTGATGCAAATACGAACAAATTTTGGCAATCGATTAATTCCAACGAAGGATTCACGACGCAAGCTTCTTTTATTTTAGGTCAGGAAGGAACTTTATTCTCGAATACTCAAAGGAATCTGGACGATACCGAACAAGTTAACAAGAACGATTTCCACGATTCTCCCTTCAACCCAGCATTAAATTCTTTCAATTTCAATCGCAAGCCACGTTACAAGATCACAATCAGGCACAAGCCAAAAGAATCAAATTTCGAATCTTCGAAAAAGCAGAAATCACCAAACACTGTAGACGAGCGAGTGATCGATCCCGCGACGCCAAAAATTGCCTCAATGAACGAAAATTACATAAAAGTTCTGATGCACGTGAGAAACGAAGATAAACTGAAGAACCAGCAGCGAAGCAAACCTCTCTTTCCATCGAACGACAAGATAAAAGAATTAAGGGAAATGAGACCTCCTCTTCCCCCCCAAAAAATACCCCCAAAAAATCGTTACCACAACTTCGACCCGGGAAATCGACACTAGATCAACGCCAAACACGTCGAATGGAGCCTATTTCCTCGCGCTTCCTCCTCCAAAAATCTCAAAACACGAATCCACGACGATTCGCCGCAACGATTTCCCTTCGATCGAAAAGGAAACCCGTTCGATTTGGCGCGAATCTTTCCTTCGTTACGAAACGATCCGATCTGGCGCAAAGAATCGACGGATTACGCGAGTCGTGACGCAGGAAACGGGTCGGGGCGCGCGAAAAACTCGAAAGCGAGACGCTTTGGCCAGGTGTCGAGTCAAAATGGCGGCGGTGGAATCCGTGGAAAAAGGCGGGAAAGAAGATCCGCAGAAGAAGGGGATGACGAAAGTGTTGTGAAAGGCGGATCGATGGCGAGTGACGGCGTGTCGAATCGGGGTGAAATAGAACGAGGAGGGAAAAATAGTTGGAACGAGAGAAATTGGCCGCAGAAAGTGATTCCGCTCGTTGAGTTGGGAGTGGGGCCTGCTCTGAATAAATCGCGGGTAGAACGGCTCGAGGAGAAGAAATCGAGAGACGACGACGGGGAAGGGTCGCGTGCCATGGAAAGAGAAAGCGGTGCGAGGGGGGAAGGCGTGAAAGGGAGGAAAGGTGATTCGAGGGCGTTCACGTATGACGATGAAAGGAAGAAAGGGAACGCGACCGATTTGGCGAGAAGAAAGAAGAATTTTGAGACGAAGATTAATGGGTCACCCAACGAATCGTTAGACGTACAGGAAAACACGAATTTTCGGCTCAACGAAAATGGAGGAGAATCCTCCGCGACGAAAGTCAAACGCGAGATAAAACCATTAGAAGATGAGTCTAACGCGAAGATTGGATTAAAGGAACGTCGAGAGTCGTTAGAAGGAATGTCCAAGGATGAGCAACTGTTAAACGAAACGTCTAAAATGAAAGACGGATTGAAAGAGCATGCGGAATTACTGGACAAAGCTCCGAAAGTGGTGGAAGATGTTGTGGACGAAGAAATAAACGCTCGTTTCAACGAGGAAACTGGCAAACAACGGGGTAACGAAGGGAAGTCGTTTGTCGAAGTCGAGATTCCAGAATTTGATTACGTGGAAGAATTGACGGAGGATGAGGATAACGACGAAGCTACGACGACCACCGAAGCGACATTGGACGAAGAGAAATATCCTTTCTACAAGAACGAACAAATACCATATGCGTCTGCATTGAAGTACGCGATAGATCCTAAGAGAGTACCCACGAAAACGTATGGGGCGATGGAATTTTACAATTCGAGGGATAATTACAAACACTGCGACGAGATAGAGGCCAACCTGAACGTTCTACCGAAGAGGGAAGAGCCAGTGGCGGATAGAGGAACCGAGGAGGATCTTCCTCGCCTGAGAGGGTTAGGGGACAAGCTCGACTGTTTCAAGTCGAAATACTTCGACGAGAATCCGTTCGACAACCCGTTGTTCTTGGAGAAGGAAGTGGAGGACCCGGTCCCCGTGGCCGAGATAGATCCCAAGCAATTTGCATCGAGGATCATGATGTTCCCCAAGGAGAACGACGAGTTCGTGATACAGAAACCGTCCAGGAGGCCGGAGAATTATCGCCAACCTCGAAAACAAGGTTACACCACTTCTAGAGATCAGATGAGAGCGCGAACCCGTTACAATGGTTATCCAATGGGAAGAGGAGGGACGAGGAGGAAGAGACCTCGGGATTATTCGGCTCAGTCGTCGAGAATCAAATACGCGAAAGGTTCTATCAACGTTCGACCTGGAAATTGGGGAATGGGGAAGAAAAATATCGAGAAAAATCGTGTCGTCGCTTCCTCGAGCAAGATATCGTCGTTGTACACACCTTATCAGAATCAAGTTTACGAGGATGTGATGGGTACGATTAAAAATTTGGCTAATTCGTATCAAGTCTACGAGGTGACCACGATCCCTGGAGCATCCCAGGATGAGATTACTGTGATTAATGAGGATGTAAAGAACGACGATGTAAAGAATTCTTCCGCGAAAAGTTCGACAAATCGTAAGAGAAAAGAGAAGAGTGGCGCGTTCACGAATCCTGTCGATCACCGTTCGAATAATTTTAATGCGAAAAGTAATAAAGAATCGATGATTCCTAAATATCGAAACAGACAGAGGGGCGTCTACAAGACGATTAGAGTTCCGCAGAAGGGTAGGCCGAGGGTTCAACAAATGTACAAACCTGTGATCAGAACTGTGAAACGGAAGATTCGTATTTATAAAAGAGATTTGACGGATGCTAGTGATGAGAAGTTTAGAGAAGATGAAAGGGAAACGTCAAATTCGAGGGAGAATTATTATTCGAGATCCAATTCAACCAATCGAAATGATCAAGATTTTCGAGAAGATTCGGCGAATTTGGGTTCTGCAGTTTCAAGGACGAGCGACTCGAGGAGAAAAGCTACGAGAAATAACGACAGAGAAAAGCCAGAGAAAGTCGTGTACACGATCAACGACAGGATAAGGTATTCGAAACGAAAAGGTGAAATAAGGAGAGTTGGAAAATTTGGGAATAAAACGAAGACGGTGGACGGTAGACGAAGAGAGCCGAGATATAATTATATTAGAAAAAGAATTGCTCCGAATGAAATTTCGATTACTACAGAAAATTCTTCCTCGAGCTTAAACGATAAAATTAATTCGAGAGAAGCGAGCACAGAAAGGATCGTAGAATTTGATAATCAAGAAATCGCAAAAGAAAGCCGCGAGGCGCCGTACTCGATCGACGAAGCTAAAAACGATCACGTGAATATCTCTGAGAGCCTCGATCATTCTACACGAGATTCGATCAACGGCTCGAACGAGCAAATCCCGAACGAAACGAAAAATGGTTACGCCGTGCACGAGAACGTGAACGAAGATGAAACAACGACCACGTTGAGCCCGCGAACATCCTCGAATTTTTTCGAGTCAAAAAGTTTCTTAGAGACCGATCCCTCGAAATACGTGGGCTCGTCTTCCGAAGATTTCAAAATACCGTACTCATTCAATAATTCCAACGACTTCGGCATGAATTCTAACGGAACAGGGAACGAGAAGGGGAAAGAAGATACCTCCAACACTTTCCCCCCTTCGTTCTTCTCCAACGAAGAATCGTCTGAGAGAGAAGAGACGATCACGAGGCTCGAATCGAGCACAGAATCGTCGGAAGAAAACAGCGCCCCGTCCAACGAGAGCGTTTCGGAAGAGGATCGAACGTTCTTCAGCTACGCGTCGAGGCCATCCTCCCCCGCGGAGAATTTCGAGGATGAGAAATACCGGGATCTCGGACCGCGCGTGAACAAGCCAGCCTTCATCCATCCTCCGTTCCCCGATTACAAGAGATCCAAGGGTCCAAGGAGAAGCTCCGAGGAAACTGGGGGGAGCGGGGAAGAGAAAGAGGAATACGTGTTTCCTTGGTACAGAGACAAAGAGGACGAACGAAGGAAGAAACGTAATCGGTATCGTGGCAAATCGAACGGGGAATACGAGTATCCGTGGGAAAGAAGAGAACGTTTGGCGAGAGAAGAGAGAAGAAGGAAAGAGGGGAGGAGAGGGAAAGGGTTTATGAAGAGGTTCGACGACGACGACGACGACGACGACGAGGAAGCAAGTGAAGGGATTTCTGCAACGACGCGCAGAAGAAACGTTCATCCACGCGGTAGATATCGATTTTGGGATCGTAGGGACACGGTTGGTGGCGGGTTGTATCCCGACAATGCAGGGAGCAGTAGCGAGAATCAACCGATAGTGAAATATAGTAGCAGATACAGCGCCGAGAGATTACCTTTGGACAAAGGATCTGCGAGTAATGGAACGACGAACGCGGAAGAAATTAGTAGATCGATCAAGAAGATCCTTGAAGACGATTCCGGGGAAAGGAAGAAAGAGGAAAATGATTCTTCGATGGAGAAGATAGTCGTGACTAAACCTCGAAAGATTTCTAAAGGAGCGATCGTCCCTGGGAACGTGACCTTGGCCCCGAGTAGGAAGACTAAGGACAAGGAAAAATCGAAAACTGTAACTAATTCTGCTGGTGCATCGTTCGAAAGTAGAAACTCGAACGGGTCTGGAATAATTGTGGTCAAGAGTCGGGGAAATGAGAATTCCGCGAAACGAGGGAGCAAGAAAAGGCGGAGGCCGTTGTCGAAGATTGTTATTCCTACCGTGGAAACCACGATGAAGAGTGTCACTGAACCCGATCGAGCTCGTCGAAGGCAGAAATCAACGACTGTCGCAAAATCTATTTCTTCGATGAGCACCGCGTCACCTCAGCCTCGAATAGCTCGCGGGAGAAATCAGAGATCGGATAAAGACGTTAAGGGGAACGGAGGTTCTAACGTCCTGAATAAACCTGTCAACGGCGTGAACGATGTGGACACCTCGAGGAGTAAAACTGGAGCAGTGGGGCATCGTTTCAAAGGAAGGAAGAGGGGACGAGCGAATGAAATAACGAACGAGACAAAGGACAAGGGGGATCGGGAGCTGTCTTCTGTAAAGAGCGTGAAAGAACAAGAGCGTTCCGAGAAGGTTGACGTTAATATAAAGAAAGAAGATTCAAAGAATCAAGATCTGAAGAATGATACTGTGGGAGAGGAATCGATCGATGGCGGGACGAAGGAGAAAAAGGAAGGAGTCGAGTCGAAGACGATGTTTCCATTCGTCAAAAGTGACGAAAGGTTTGACTTCAGGGACGAGAGGATAGATTCATTGAGCGATTTTGATAAGTCTGACAACGAGGATGAATTTGAAAGTGCATCGGATTCGAATTTCACGCCTCAGAATGGAACTGTTCAGATGACCGAGCAAGGTTCAAGTGAAATTGTCTCTTCGGCTTCTTGGATATCGGAGAATTATGATTTTTAAGGCAGGATTTTATATTTTATATTTAGTTTATGATATTCTTTTTTTTTTTTTTTGAAAAGGAGAAAGAAAAATTGAAAGTGGAACTGTCGTTGTTTTGATGAGGCAATATTTATGAAAATTAGAAGAAATTGATTGGAAAGAGATTGATGATACCAATTGTTGAGAGGATGTCAGGTTCATTAGGGATTTTCATTAAAACTTTCTTTCATTAAATTGATGTTTCGAGAGAGTTTTGTATGATATGGTGTCATAAAAAAGCGAAACGAATTTGAGTTATTTTAGAATGAATATGAGTTTCTTAACGATAATGATTCATTTCAGATTTCGTTTCGATCTGGATGATTTGCTCTGAAATGTTATTACAGAAAAAATTATTTCAAATTATTAATTATAAAAAAATTTATTTTTAAAACTGGTATACGATTGAGGAAAAAATTATAACGTGAAATGGATGGAAATCGAATCGAACGAACGTAATAAGTTTATGAAACAAAGAAAGAAATAAAATAAGAAATCAGAGCAAATAATTTATCGATCTAGATATTTGATAATAATTTTAACTATTTCTGAAATGAATCCATTAAATTTTATCAATTTTTATATATCGATTTTAACAATAAAGATAGATAGATATTTTTGTTAATGAATAAAATTATATATCTGTTCAATCGTGTCGTGTATATAAATAAAACCAATTGAATGAAAATAAATATATTGCACGAGAAATAAAATACTCTTCTCAAAAAAAATTCCTTACGAGTTTTAATTTCCAATTAATTAATTTATTTTCGTACGATAATTGATCATAATCAAAAATATCAATAATTTATTATCCTCGTTACATAATTTCAATCCTCGTTTCCAACCTGGATATCCTTGATCTAATTTTCCAGAATAAATTGTCACGATTCCTCCATAAAATTCAACGAGTGCGATTTATCAATCATTCTTTCGTTCATTGTACTCCATCAGACCTGGTAAAAATGATTCATCGATAATTTTACGATGAATAATAGCGCACTTGCACTTAATGATATATTATGTCGGCTCGATACAATGATTCATACCATTTTATTAACCACACAATGCTTCTGAAATAATGATTTTATTTAAGTAGACACACTTATGAACTTCACGGTCTGAATACTCTTACGGTTAGAAAATTATGTGGGCGATGCAATTAATTAGTTAATGTGTTATAACTACGTATTTTTTAAACGCTTCGTTAATCGCAAAATTATGCATTTTCAATTATTAACATTTCCAACTATTGCTTAATTTTCTTTTTTTTTTTTTTTATTTGTTATTGTATTCAGCAATTTTTAAAAAATATCTCTCAATCAGACTCGAACTTTCGAATTACAAGAAATAGAAATTACCTTAGAGCGTTTACCTTATTCCTTATTGGCGGAATCAATGTGAACGGTGTGTGGATGTATTCAACCAAGGTTAAGGTGGACGATATCCTCCATTTAGGAACGCGCTGCATTCTAATAAAATCCTGCATCGATGAATAACTCGATATTGAAAGGGAATACAAGTGCTTGATTGGCCAACTGCGAGGCCGAGTCCCGTATATAATTCGATCTTTACTTTAGTGCTTTAGTTTCCTTCTTGTCTCTTGCCACGCGACTGCTAAAAGGTCATTATGCCTTTTTTAAAGGTACGTCGACTCTTTATACGTTTTGTGTAAAAATAGGAAAAAAAAAAAAAAAAAGGAAAGAAAAATCATTCGTTGTATTATTTCTTGAACAAGTGGTGCTAATTAAAGATAATTTCGTATCTCATGAAAAATATAAATGTTTTTTCAGTGATGTGCCAATGAAGTGTATTTCTGAAAGAAAAAAAGATATATGAAAGATACATGAAAAAACAATGGAACGAAAAGATCGTATTCTAGAGGATTCAAATTGTGTAAAATGATCTAAGATATTTGATTAAATTCTAATATTTGATTAATTCTAAAATAATAGATCGAAAAAGAAGAAATATATATAATTTTGATATATATATGGTTGAACACAAAGATATTAAAAGATATTAACACAAAGATCGATGTTCCTCGCGTGACAGATAGAAATAGATTTTATTAATATATCTAACTAGAACGAAAAAGAGAAAATAGTCGAAGCATGAGCGAGTAATACGAGTCGCGTGACTAACATCGTGAGAGGTGATTGTGTCCCCCCAAGGTCCATATGTTTCTTGAACGCCGTAAGCGTGTTCAATAAACTCTCGAAATCGAACTTCTCAAATTGAATTAAAATTATTATTCGAATCAAATTTTTCAAGTATCTAATTTCCATTTCTTCACTTGTTAGTTAAATTTCGATTCGATGTAATAAAGATATAAATTAAAAAGAAAAAAAAAAAGAAGGGGGGAATTTTCAGCGACGAAAATCGTGGAAACGAAATATTGAGTTTGGATTGGCCAACAGAAACCTTACGCCGTGCCTATAATTCAATCTTCGAGTTTGTACTCGAGTTTCGTTCTTGTTTTACGATTCGGCACAAACAGAAAACACGGATACGTGTACTGAAATAAAAGTGATCCGTACTTAAAACGGTGCATTCAAATGAGAGGTTGCATAGAGTTTGTTGTTGTCGCTCTTTTTTTTTTCTTTCCTTTTTTTTTTTTTTTCGAATAAAAATAAAATGTCAAGAGAAAGTGAGAACGATTAACATCTAGCAGTTAATGTTTCGAACATGTTTATTTTAACGTTTCGCTAGATTTCTAAGTTCTAATGTCTATGAAATGTTCTGTTTATGGTAAAATGAAACGAGGCAAAAAATTGACATGCAAATAATGGCACACTTTCTATCGTCGATTGTCATTTATTGCCATTAACTTTGTCCGCCATTGTGAAATTGTGATTTGGAAGATAATAAGCTGGCTGTTAATCTTTAATTAATTTTTTAATTAAAGATCTGATGTCTGATTAAATTCTCTTACATCAACGAATTGAACATTGTTTCAATAATATGGGAAGATGGGTATCTTTGTACATGATATCTGATTGAAAGTAAATATAAAAGAAAAAAATAAAATATTTTCCGCTTCAAAAATATATCATATCGAGCGGGAGAAACATTTGAAATATCATATTTTACTTTTAAGATGATAATTAATTGTTTACAGACCATTTTACTGTTGACTATCGTTGGTTTGCTGAACTTATCGACAGTCGCACCAGACAGCGCAGGAATCGTAGAAATGGTGAATGGATTGGCGTATGGTAAGTCAGTTTGTCCATTTTCCTTTCACTTATATCTGTAAAAAAAAAATAATAATTTTTGTTAGTAATAGATACACAAATAGCAATTCCATTATCTTTTTTTTCTTTTTGTATTTTTAAATACATAGATTAATTTTCATAAAAATTTTCATGACAATCATTGTTTTTTTATATTCGATTAAATCACAACAGAGGACGACACTGAAGTTCGTGAATATTTCACACAAATTCAAACATTAAATCTAAAAATGAAATAAAAAAAATCTTACATTCTGAAATAACGATAATAAAATAACATTAAATTATAAAAATAAACTTTATTTATTTTCTAAACGCCTGTGATTGATAATCCATAAAGATTTCAATGCATTGAAGACTGGAGACTTCAACGACTGAGTAAACGATATCGACTGCTTCCTCACGTTATCCCTAGAAAAATAATAAAGTTAAATAAATATAAAAATAATACGTACCTTGTAATTAACACAGATAAAATTTTTATTACTATTCTTTCCATTCCATTTTTTCCTATTCTATGCCATTTTTATTATTTTCAGGTGGTATTCCCTACGGAAGTATAACTGGCATGGTAGCAAAGTATCCAGGATACTTGGGGCAACAATTTAATTCTCTTCAGGCGCGACAATTAAACGGATTCAAAAGTGTACAACCAGTGGTCATCACTCCAAATTTTAGGGCAACAAGATTAGCGGGAGTGCATCCACCCGTGCAAATTTACAACGTTCCGAGTGTTGTTGCACCTGGTGTTGTGGGCACGATCAGCCACATAGGATATTAAAGATATAATTAGTTATAAAATAAGTTAGCGATAAAAGATATAAAAATTCCATTCTTGTTTGTTCAATACTTTCACGACGCATTCCAAGAATTCCATTATATTTATTGTCACGTATAATTATATGTGATTAAAAGTCATGAAAATTGATTTAAAAGCAATTTTCAAATAATATTTACCATTAAAAATAGATATTTTTAAATATTTCTCGCTTTTACTTTACAATTTATTTCGTACATATATATAGGGTAGGGTACTCTATTCAATTATGTTTGCTCAATCACTGTACATTGCAAATGAGAATAATAAGCATACCATGACAAGTTATTATTCGAATGTTCGATCAACAGTTTTCTACGAAGTGAATCAGGTACTGGCATTTCCGCAGCGTATACTATAATTGTATTCAGAAATATTATTTTAAATTTGTCCTTTCTCTGCATTACTCAAGAATATAAAAATAACGAATTAAAAATTCGTTATAAATTACATTAAATGATAAATCGATCGGTTATTTCCATATCAATTGTAGCATAAAATATACCCCCTTTGCATCGTCGAGCTTATAAGAAAATAATCCATCTCTCATCGATATATATTAATTATTATTGCATAAATAAATGACATAGTAATATCGTTCACGCATGAAATATGCAAAATTGATCGGTCTTATATCAATTGAATTAGGGCAAAAAGCGTTTATGGAGAGAAAGTATAAATGACATCGGGCACGGTGTATGCCTGTTAGTCGTCACGAGCTGCACGCACGATGCATTACCCTCTACACGTGAGTATGTGGATACGCTAATACGATCCTCGTTGGCGAGAGAGGAAAAAAAAAAAAAAAAAGAAAGAAAGAAAGAAAAAAGAAAAAAAAAGAAAAAGAACGTTTCGCAATCACGAAGATGATATTCGTCCTACATCGATGACCAGTGTGTGGTAACAGGTCTACTTTTTCAAACGTGAATCGAGAAAATTAATTTTCGTTTCGTTCGCCTCTAACGATGCCCTTAGGCTCTCAGTTTTATATAATCAATTTGCTCTTTTTTTCAATATTACGTTTGTTTAAATTGTCAATTCGTATTATATACTATGTATATTTGAAAATCGAGTATCGCGGCTCTCAAAGATACTTTGTTCGAAACCAGATGAATATCATCGATCATTAATAATCGTTAAGAATTGACACACGGTGCATCGTTACAGTGAAGAGAATCCTAAGGTGTAATAAATCTAAAAGATGGCTAAATTTCTTTAACTTCTTGTGCAGTTTAAGTTTAAGAATAATTATTATTCAATTTTCTTATCACAGTTAGCCTGGAGAAAGATTTGATCGATATGTTAATAATAGTGTTGTACAATTTCCATATCTCAAATTTAGAATTTATTAATTGTGAAAAATTAGAAACGTACACTTGTTGTGCCTACGTTTATTTAAAAAAATTTTCTATTCTAAAATAATTATTCTAAAATTTCTATTTTTGTCATTTACAAATACCTTTACAAATACAATCGTCTCGATCGAAATTATTAAAATATATATATCCTCTCAAAGAAACTTTTGTACAAATCATCTCAACATTCAGATTAATTATAAAATACAGATATCTGGCACACATTGCATTTACGTAATCGCGATAATTTATTACGATTTGCAAACTGCAGGACAACCAGTTGTCGCCACATGTACACATGTCGGATAAATTTTAATGAATCCATCTTCCACGACCCATCCGCCGTGCGATTCTTACCTGTGCATATTCGCAAGTGCATGTCCTTGCGCAAAGAAAGGATTAAACGTTGCATAATCGTGCTAATTACGATCCGAGAGGAACAATATGATACAGTGTATATATATATATGACTCGTGTTCTGGGAACGTGTTCTACTTGAATTCAACGCAATTAATTGTAAATCTATCTTCAGAGAAGATTCTATAAAGTCTTCGTTATCGATAAAAGATGAAAACGAGAAGAGGTTAATTGTGCGCAAGATCGTGTTTATTATTTTCTCAGCCATTTAATTAAAGAAAAAACAAACGCGTGTATTTAATTAATGAAAATTAAGATATTCTTGAATGAAATATTTTATCGATTTTGATTGAACGATTGGAATGGAAAACGATGTGTTTCTTTTATTGGAAATTTCATAAAAAAAAAAGTGGCCATTTTTGGGCTCTATTATAGTTTAAATCGCGATAGTGACATGAGGTGTACATGGTGAGGGTATAAATCGTGAGTGATCACGTGCGCTTTATTACGACCGTAGAAATTAATCACATCAATGAATAAAGCATGAATGAAACGGGATGTAATTTTAGTTACTGCCAATTGGTACGTGTCGAATAGATTTATATGATATTTCTCGTTTACGTAATCTACTTTAACTACTTGTAATTTATACTTTTCCTGTATAAATTTCTATTTCAATAGTCAATTAACTAATCATTTTGTTTGGAAGAATGATGAAAGAAGTGTGAAAGTGTGGATTACAATAAGAAGGAAAAATTTTTGTTTAAATATATAAGTGATTAAATAACGAATAAAATGTTTAACGGTGTAGCGCAGAAGAAGATGATGGAAAAAGAAATTTTCAAATTATAAATAAGAGTGTTAAGGAAAATCGAATTGAAATAAAACGGTGCGTTTATTCGAAAAATTTCCAATGCTCCAATATTTACCGTAATTATTCTTCCAAAATGACGATTGATTATTTAATTGAAAATTAAATTCGATCTATTTATACGTCGCGCGAATATTTTCAGAGAAGAAAAAAACTTATGATATGGTTAAAAAAAAAAAGGAAAAAATACTTTCCAGTTCTTGAAAATTATTTCAATTACAATAAAAAAAAAAAAAAGAATCTAAGTAACAATAGACCAAAGTTATTTTCTTATATACGAACCGCGACGAATGACGGTACAATAATTACAATCCATTTTCTTACTTTCTTTCATGCGTATTTCGAAATCAATGTTATACAATCGATCATTTTCTCAATTACTCGACTTTTGTTCTCATGAATATCAAAGATTTCAGGAAGTAATACAAGTTTGCCGCGATTGATTGATTCGTCAAGCATTTCAAGCCTCGATAACGAATACCGTGAGAAATAATGAAGAAATACATCGATGAATTTCTATTACGAGAACGTTACAATGTGTAAATAAAACGTGAAAGAATGTGAGTACTCGTCATCTTCATAATTATTTACGATCGTGTATCGTAAATATATATAAATAACACGAATGAAGAGAGAAATGACATACAAATACATATACTTCAAAATTCGATTATCTCGATCTCGAGTAAAATTCTTAATTAAAAGAGAACTTACGAAAGAACTCAAATCTAATCCCATAACTCAAGTCAAGAGTTAACTAAATCGAAATTAACCTAGAAAGAGAAAATTCCAATTTTTCAATGTCAATATGAAAAATCTTATTAACTGAAAAATTAAATCAAAATTAAATCCGAAAGAAAGTTTCGATTCCTCGATTCGAAAGTTTCTTAAGAATTAAAAAGAATCCAAGGATAATTTCACTGTGTGACTCTTAAATCCAGATCAATCATTAAAGGAAAAGGACAATTCTGATTTTTCAATTCAGAAATCCAGATATTCTTCCGTCTCAACTCAATTGTTCGCCCAAAATTTACACAATCGGCAATAGTGGTATACATAACTATACCATGTAGGAAACAAAGTGCGTAGATCTTCACTGTTTGTGCGTTTTCATCCATTGCACAATCACAAATAAAACGTCGTATTGCGGTAAATTACCGGGCGCGCCATCACGAGCCCATCATTATTTCTCCCTATTACGCAGTTCAGAAGGGAAGCTTGGATTTTCCTGGATCTGGAAAGAAAGTTATCTATTTCGCTTCTTGTTGCAGATTGTCGTTGTGTTGACGAGCCCATGGATCCTTCAGGAATACGCGCAAGCGGCGAAAAATGGTCTAAGTAAGTCGATTGTTATTCGTTCTGGGAAAAACGCTTTTAACGATCACCGTGCGCACCCTTGAACCACTTTTAGAACAATGGAGATTATTTTTAGAAGGGAAATTTCTGCGAAACGAATGCGATCGATTATTTTCTTCTTGAATGCGAGAGATTGCAAAAGTTTAAATCGAAATTAACGAAGAAAAATTCAATTTATCTATCTATGAATGAATGTTTTAATTTTATTTTCATTCCATCTTCCATTTCTAAAAAATTCCTTGATAATTTACTCGGCATGTTACATTAAACAACAAATTTTGCCAAAGGCAAATTTTTTTCCCACTTGTTTTTTAGAAAATCTGCAAAAATAATATTTTTTAAAATTAAAAGTATAATAAATGTAAAAATATAATTGAAAGAAACTTACAGTTTATTTTAAATTAATTTTTAATTATGAAAATATATTCAAATTAATCTATTTTTGAAAGTATCTTAAAAAGAATTTAAATTTTAAGTTCCTCTATTCAAATCTCGAGTTTTAGAAGAACGATATTAAAATAATAATGCTTAAAAACCACTTTGTTGCGAAATAGGTGCCGAAGTGCTGACGTCTTTCGCCAGAAACATCGCCTCGGTTCTATCGACGACCTTGCTCAGCGATTACCAAGACTCACCTGTGAACCAGTCATCGAGCGGTAACCTTCTGAAAAGAATTCAAGATGCGCAGCGACCGTTGGAGATGGTCACCAATCAGTCAGAAGGATCAGAGACGAATGCCTCCTTTGATCGCTACCCTCGATCCACTCGCGAATCTTCTTCAAACGAAGGAGAAACACTATTCCAGAATCCTTACGCGACAAATCCTCCACGTTATTCAAAATATCACGAGTCGGTATCCTCCTACAAACCGTACGAATTCACCGTGAATTCAAGAATTCCTTACAACGAGGTGAACACACCTGGAAATCTTAATATAATCAATACCAAAGAAAATTCCGTCAACGAAGACGTTAATCCACCTCCTCTCCATTATCCTTCTCTTGGATTCAGATACAAACCTGAACCCGTCGATCCATTATCTGATTCAAATCATTATGCCAGATTAGTAGATCTTCATTATCATCGTCTCTCGACTCAGAGACCCGTCGATCCTCGGCAACATTCGACAACACCCGAACAAGAGATTAACACGGATGAAAACGGGAATAATAACCAGATTGCCAGGATAACTCGAAGACCTTATAATCTCAATTATCGTGGCTCCTTTCATAATTCCTATTATACACCAGGGTTTCAAGGACAGCCAGAGTTCTATCCTCGCGAGAGGCCCGTGGAAAGTGAGGATCGATACGTGACTCCGACTAATGGGCGAGATGAAAGTGATCCATCTAGATTGGAAGATCAGAATCAAGGTCAAACTGCGTTAAAGGGATACGATTACGGCCCTCGTTTTCATTACGGTTTACCTCCATATGATGCTTTCTATCACGGATTTCCTGGATTCTATCCCCGCCCCTACAACCATACTTTTCATCCGGGATATAACAAAGAGACGCAGAGCGATGGTAACGGAACCGGTCCACAACCGTACGGTCCACCATCCTTTTATCACGATCCTAGGTTTGGTCCTCACCAACAACCATTCTATCCAAATTTCCACGAGCACGGAAGACCCGTTCGACCGTCTCAGAATTCAGCTGATAATCAAGGAAATTCGGAACAAATCGTTACACCAGAAAATGGACAGGGTAATAATGCCACGTATCACGGATATCCGCCATTTGGATATCCACTACCTTATGGCCCCCATTATGGGGGTCTCAATTTGCACGGTTATCCTCTGCTGCCATTCTTCGGTGGTCTTGGACACGGATTCCACGATCACCTATTCTCAGGGATCAAATCCGTGCCTTATTTGAATTTTTACCATCACTTTCCATCGGTTCATTGGCATCCTCCGTACGGTGGCCATCATTACGACCATCGACCCGTGACGACGACTGAGAAGCCCGCAGAAAAGACTGTCAACGAGAACTCTGAGGCATCGGCTTCTAACAGCGAGGCTGAAACGTTGTCCGAGATTAAATCTTCGGAGAGGACTCGATCTTCGCCTTCGAGAGGATACGAAAAACGCTTCTCCTCTGGATTCGTTGCTAAAGAGGGCAGCAAAGTAGCCGGGGATCGAATGTTGAATCAATTGATATAACAGTAGTAGTGGACTGTAACGATTAATTTAAGTGTTTAATATAAGGAAAAAAAAATATACTACTGATTATTTGTTTTATCGTTTATACGTATTGTATAATCTTCTTTCCTGATAATAATTTCCTTTAGAAAGTAAAAAAAACCTAAATAATGGAAATAAACCATCTATCCAAAAGGAGAGATTATTATTCACCTTTATTTATTACGATACTCGAGAGTAATCAAATTTATTTTTCTTTCAAATCATTCTAATGCATAATAATTTTTCTAATCTTTAAGTTAATGAAGGAAGATCGTAAAAATGGAAAATACCAAATTCCACGAGAATTTTAATTGTGATCGGTTCGCATCATCAACGGAAACAGTTTTAATTGAAAAAAAAAGACCACTTATCCGACAACTTATCGACTTATCTCATCGAAACGACACGCGCCAACGCAACATCGCATCGGGCAAAGAAGAAACGTTCCCATGGCCTATGATATACAAAAAAGTTCCCATAGATCTAGTTGGCCTTATCCTGCAATTACACCGAGCGGCGTGCCTATCACGCATGCCAACTATCACGGTCTGATAATTTTCCTGGCCTTCCCCAACAACAAATTTCGCACACGCCATTTTCGATCGATTCGCGCATATATAAATCCCAACTATAAATGCTCATAAAGTGCAACTAACTCAATTTTTTAAAATGCAATTAAAACTAAGATTGAAAGATGAAAGGTATTGCCCCTTTTTCGAGAGAGAAATCTGTCAAAATGTGTGTATCGTTATCTGAATCGGATCGCTGTTTGGAGAACGGTAACAACGCAATAAAAAAATCGATCTATCGACACTCGTTCAAGGTGAGGACGCAAGTGAGATACGTAATACGCGGAAAGTCCTTCGATATGTCGATCGCATATTCTGGGGAAATAACTGCATTGATGAAAATGGGAGGGGAGAAAAAAAAAAAAAAGGATCACGTAACTAAGCGGAATTAGATTTTTATATGTTTTCGAAGCGATGATCGAGGCGAGGCGCGTTTTATCGATTAGAAATCGCTTTGGAACGGAACAAATTTTACATACATTGCATTATACACTTGTTCGAACAGGTTTCCGATCCGAGAAAATAGATTTTATTAATATGCATATTATCAGTAAGTATGCATAAAGCCTTGATTATAATTAGCGATGGGATCAAGTTTGATAGCGAGTGTTTATCCGAGGATCCGAGTGAAATTCAATATGGAAGGTTTACTCGATGGAATTTAATTATTATTCGTGCGAGATGATTTTTTTTTTTTTTTTTTTTCATACTTTCAAACAGTAAGGATTATGCAAGCTGGTTTCAAAACTGAAAAAATGACGATTTCACTCGACTTCGATATTATAAAAAGAAAGTTATCGCAAATATACCATTCGTAAATGTTTCGAATCAATTTGGAAATGTAATGAAGTTACAATTAAAAATGTTATTTTTATTATTATTATTTTTTTCGAACTATTGATAAAAAGTTGAGTTCACTTCGTGCCATCACTAATTTATATGCAAAGTTACAATTATCATACGATAGTATAATATCATCAATTATACGATAATATAAATTACAAACTGCGAACAAATATTAAAATGCATAGGAATACTAAGTGTTACAAAGTATATTTAATTGCACATGATAAAAAAGAAAAGAAAAAATGAGAAGATAATTAGAATCGTGCAATTCTTATCAAGAAGATAAAATAATTATTCATCGTGTGATTCAATTGCGTCATTATTTTATTAAAGATGGTTCTGCGTATTTTATTCGAATCATCGATGAATAATTTATATTCATCATAATGTACTTATACGAAATTGAAATTCTAATTTAGTCCATACGAATTCTGATATAAATAATTACATTTATCGTAATTAATTTATATTACATATTCTATAATAAAAAAATTCTCAATGCTTGTTCATTTCAATGTACAATAAATGATATTAAAAGAAAAGAATATCGTGCATTGTGATTGTACGATATCTGATTTTTAATGTCTGATTTTTTAATTCCCTCACCTGGTCTCAGTTTTAAAAATAAGATATTACACGTACGCTTTATTAATCAAGATATATATATATATTTTTTTTAAATTAATTGGTGTTGCATATTGATTGACTATATTATAAAAATTTAAATTCTGGCTATTTAACATATAACATATCGTCTCAGAAAAAGATTGGGGAACGAAGCTTTTTTTCATGATCAAAATGATTCATCGACAAAAAAGAAAGGGAAAAAAACTTGAAAAATGGATATCCGTGCGAATATTTTCGTCTCAACGACGATCTCGTTGGGTAACATAACACTCGACGAGCAGTTTACAAGCATCGCACATTAACTGCAATTAATGACAAACGCATCCTTTCCATGATCCCAATCATGTTGCAATCATCTTTTCTTCTTTTTCTTTTTTCTTTTTTTCCTTTTTCTTTTTTCACGATTTCGTCCCGCAACCTGTACCGTGTAATTTCACCATTTTGTAACGACCCCCTCCTTTCCATGCTCCTGTTACGCAACCACACGACTTTTCTTCCTTCTGTCCCGATCACGATTGCATCTCCTTTCATTGAATCGTGCATTCGTGCACACATTGTCCTCGCTCGGACGATAATTAAATTGTTCGACTTTATAACATTCGTTGGAAATTCTCTTCGATCCTGTTTTCTTTTTTTTTTTTTTTTTTCGTGACGAGAACTTTTGTTTCATGTAAACGATATCATCGTTGAATTTTTATATTTTAGCTATGTAAAATGTATTATATATGCGATATATTTTCTGTATTATGTGAACAAATATTTTACACTGTACCAATTAATTGAATTGGAGAAAATAATTTTTCCACAGAAATTCTAACGTGGAATGATATTTGAAGCAAATTGAAAATGTAAATGTCATTCTGAATAGTAAAGTAAAATCGTATGCTTTTGATAACAGTTGTGTCCAGTATTAATCATCGATCCATTGAAACGATTCTGTCCATCTTACTTTCTTTTAAAGTCACTCCAAGAAGTACATATGTCTACTTAATAATGTAATGATATATCGATCAAAATAGTAGACCGTGAAATTTTCCAATTGAGAAAGGAAAAGAGGATTCTTACCGTTCGAAGTTGAAATTAAAATGGTAATTTCAAGTATGATCCAAGTACGTTCACTATTCATCACCCCTCGAATCCGTGAAATTTCTCCAAACGAGGAAGAAATTCTCCAAACGAGGAACGTGAAATGGTAACAGATGCTAATTAAAATTGTCACGGAAACCGGAATCGGACGATGCAAATGGAAATGACGATACATTGTTTTTCTTTTCCAGATATAATGGAATTGGGGAAAAGGTTTCTCAGACGAAAAATCGTGGATTCTCGTGGATTACGAATTTGGATGTCAAGGCGGTCGCCGGTTCACAGCACGTGAACACAAACGATGACCAATCCGAAATGGATGTTGCATCGGTGTTCCTTTCATAATGACGTATTGCATTCGCATAATCCCAGAGTAACAATGCCAGTCTTTGCTATTAGTGTTAACGGAGGAAAGCCAATACGAAGGCTGGGAAAAATTAGTGTGGGGGCTGTGGCGGAACACGCCGCCTTTGTTATAAAAGAAACGGAGACCAACGTTGGACAGACAGTGGTACTCTGTTGACAGATAGGGGAAAAATTAGTGCAATTCATAGGAGGAGTTAACTGGCTAGTGTCAGCTGACGGATAATGGCTTGCTTGAAACTTGTAAGTAATGATAGAAAAAAAAAAAAAAAAGAAGAAAGTAAGAAAGAGGAAAATGTTTTGAGTTTCATCCCTCATTGATTTATTGCTCTTATGCTTCCAATGTTTCACTTTTATTTAAGTATTTCATTTTCCGATTTATTTCGGAACATGATCGATCTTTTCCACATCATTGGAAAAAAAGATACGAAGATGGAATTTTTTCAAGATACGATTTGTTATTTATTTATGCGTATTTTAAGGATTGGGTATATGTCCTTTTTTTTAGTACACGATCCTGTTGCTGGCTGTCATCATTGGCATCGTTTCTGCGAAACCAGGATACCTCGGTGGATACGGTGGATACGGATATTATCCTTACATTTACAGATATCCGTTCTATGGATACGGACACGGTTACGGGCATTATGGATACGGTAAGGGGATGCATGAGATAATATAGAACGCGTGAAAAGTGCTTTCAACGTCAATGAATTTTTTGCAAAACTTTTTCACTTGTTCTCTTTCTTCTGTCAGACGTAATAAATTGTATGAAATTTTATATTATTATTAAACGCGCTGAAAAATTTTATAAATTTTTAATCTATTATAAATTCTAAAATGGACAAAAATATTCATCGACGTTGCACACGAGAAATAGAAGATATGGATCATTAGACAAAACATTCATCGATGTTATTTATTATCTTAATCTACTTTTCCATTTAGGCTTCCCTGGGTATGGTTATGGTCATGGATTCTATCATTATTAATCGAAAAGGCGATCGTTTGGATACTGCGATATACCCAAAGAAGATATATTTACATCTCTATCCTAATTTTTAGATTTATCGACTCTGCTCTATCGAAATCTTTCTTAAGAGAAGAACTGTAAAAAGATATCCATATACTTTCACGATATTCTCGAAATTTTTTTCACTCCATTTCACTCGAATGATTCTCGAGATTATTCTCGTCGTATTATTATATAATATCAAATCGATGATGTTTTTTTTTTTTTTATCCAAGAAAACTTGAATTATATTTGATTCAATTTTTATATCTTCGTTGAACAGATGCAAATCAATAAAATTTAGATTTTAATGGAAGTGTCGTGTTTAAGATATCTTCTCACTATAAACCTATTCTGTTATATATTTTTTGGGAATAGCAATGATGAAATTTCTTTTTGAAAGCTCGCTTTCTAAAAGAATCTTTAAATATTTTCTTCTTCTCGATTTTCGTTTTTTTATACTTTCTCTGAAAATTTTATTCATTTAAAATAATATATATAAAAGAAAATTAAATCAAAATCTAATAAAAAACTTCAAGAAACAATCAATAATTTCTCGCATCTCGAAATGTACCAATGAACGTTTATTAAATATTAAAAAATTCTTTACAAGTTCATATAAAAATATATTCAACGATATTGAAATTAAACGAATGCATAACGTAACATTGCGTGACTGGGAATATTAAATTCAAGACAATATTTCCATGCAGTTTCATAATATTGAATCATGAATCCATGATAAATTACGAAAATGCATTAATGAATGTGACATACGAGAAGAAAACAAAAATGTTGTTCCTTTTTTTTTTTTATTGATTCTAAATCAGAAATCAAATTAATGTAATTACCAATCATATTTTAAAACCATTATAAATAAAATACACAGATTTTTTTATTGAATATCTTTGTTTCAAAAATTAGAAGTTAATGAGATATTCATATGCGTAAATTCCATTTTCGATTAATTCGTTTCAGAGATATCGAATGAGCAATTTTAATCTCTCTGTTTCTCGAAAGAGAGATTTTTAATTTTAATGAAGGAGGATTATCAAATTTTAATATTTTTTTTTGTTATCCAAGTATAATTTTTGTTTCGATTAATTTACACAAAATATCGAAACCGTTTAAAAGAATGATAATTAAATTTTATATATAAATACACTCAATGCTAAAATTAATCAATATCTGATGATACCATTCTATATGAGAATGAATTATTATGATATGAAAATATTTTTAGTTGTTTCATCTATATAATATGGCTTTCTAACACTAAATGAATGGATTTAACAATTTTTTAAAAATATATTTCGATCGAAGAGTCCTCCAAGAAATTTATTTTTGATTCAAGAAATATCTAAGGATAAAAATCAAACAATATCCGATAAATAAATTAAAAACTGAATAAAGACCATTAAATTTAATAAAATAATATTTATATATTCCATTTCAAGATTTTAATAATTAATTTTAATATTTTATTACATACGTACGATAGATTAGATATTAAAGTTATTATATATAAAAATCTAATGTGTATTGGAAATGTCAAGATATAAAAAACTGAGTAAAAAACTGTGAAAAAATACTAATACTTTTTGAAAAAATTAGTTTCAAAGATGATTCATCTAAAAATAATCGAGTTAAATTAGAATTTTATTTAAATTAAAATTATCTGAAATTTTAGAGCTCTCCGTGTCCAACCTTTAGCAATTGTCGATGTCAACTGAATACGAGATACGATTATCTCGTATTATAAACAGAAACAGTAGAATGTAACAACAAACTTGTCTCGAAGCAAATGAGACGTACGAAACGAACGATAATATTATTGTAATAAATTAAACTTGACTTAATAGAAATAATATATAATATAATAATATTTACGAATAAATCAGAGTTTCGAAAGTAAAAATCTGCTCGTTAATGTTTCGATGAATAGCGTGAACGATAAATGATCGTGTTTTGAAAAAACTGAAATGGAAAAAATTACGAAAAATAATAGAAAATTATTAAATGCGCGTATATAATTTAATAAAGTATGTAACATAATAAAGTTTATTAAATTATTATGTTAAATGTAACATAATAACATAATAAAGTATATAAATATTCTTATTAATGAATCCAATATGAATCGTGATTATAAAAAAATTCAGATTGATTCCTGTTGGAATTTTATACAGATTTTTCAAATAGACGTCCAAATTTATTAATTTTTAATTTTGTAATTTCATAAATGATATTTTACATTTATATTTTATCAAAATTTGACAATTGTCGATACTTTTACATTTGTTTTCAAGGTTAGACTTGTTAGATCTGTTCGTGGCTTAGAAATCTTCAACGTTTTCAATTGCACAACGAAACGAATCATAGTTATATCTCATCTCTAAAGTTATCGAAATATCATCGTCCACGTTCAATCGTTAAAATGAGAGAAAAATTTCTTATTCCTCTTTTCAAAAAAATCACCATATCATCGATAATACACCAACAACGATGTTATTAAATCCTTTACGCTTCATTAAACCCGATTCAATCTTATCGAGGAATCTTTGAAACGATATGTTGCATTCAATATATAAAATTTTCGCAAACAGATTTAATCTTAATATTGAAAGATATTGAAATAATAGAGATTGATGAAATTTTTGTTTCTGAATAAGTGTGTTCCCGTTTAATTAAACACAACATTGCGATTAAGAGAGAATGCATCTGCGGTGATCCGTATGTGCAGATGTAGAGGTCATCCATGACTTTTCAGGTCGTCCATACTTTTACTTTGCCGCGAGTAAACCGCAATAGGTTTTAGGTGTGACTTTAACAACCTGCAAAATTTCTTCAGTGACAATTTACTTCCTTATAAAGCAGATATTTATCTTTTCATATTTATGTCTTTATATTACTTCGTTTAAAATGAATTAATTACATTTTTGATCTCTCTTAATATCAACATTCCATTTTATATATATATATATCCGGATATTCTTAAGATGAGAAAGAAAGAAAAAAGAATTAGTCGATCGTTGTTAGCAAAAACTAGAGAAATTTATATTCTCTATCTTCGTAAAATTTTAATGAGACGAGATTGTCGAGGTCATCGTTTGGAATGGATGAAACTTTAAAATAACGAGCAAGATTCAAGCTGAGAGGCTCGAAAAAATTTTTTAATGTATCTTAAATGCCAATATGTCAAATTGTAAATTTTTATTCGTTTAAATTGAAGGATTCGGATCGTGACGGATGAAGGAAAAAGCAAAAATCTAACAGGGAATGATGAATTTACGATTATTTAATTCGAAAAAAAGGAAGAGGAATTAAAAGTGAAAAAAACATTGCATAATCTTTTTACTATCATATATATCTTATGAAATCGTTTGTGATCACTTACGACACTTCAGGTTTGCCTTGATACGTTGAGAATTCAATGACATGATAAAAATTGAAATTTGAAGATTATCGTTTAAATGTAGATATTAAAATTTTATTTTACATTGAAATAATGATTATTTCGAAATAACAAAATGTTTTTCCTGTATCTAAATATTCAATGATAAATCTCCTTTGATTCATTTCATAAATATTTACTTATATTTTTAAAATGTGAATCAAAATTTTTAAAAAATCTAAATTCCTTAAATAAAAATTTCTCACTTCTCGTATTCATATTCTTATTCTCATATTCTTTTTTTCTCTTCTTTTTTGAGCCATTTTTTCTTCATTAAAAATTCGAAGATATGGAGGTTAATTCCATGCTAATGTTATATATTACTCATACTTTCGCGTCTTGCGTAAAAAAATAAAATTCTCGAAAGAATTATCTCCTCTTCGTGTATATCTTTATCATAATTTTCTTTATTCATAACTAAGATTATAGACATGCCATAAATCACTTGACACACACATAACACCAAAGAAAAAGACTATAATTATAAATTATATACAATGCCACACAATGCTTGAGAAATAAAAATTTTGTTTCAAGAAAAGATTGTGGACTGTAATTTTCAATTGTAAAAAAATAACAATATTCGACTCGCGTGGTTTATATTTACGTCCAACGATTAATTCAATGTTCTGTATTGGATTATAATTTTATCCAGATATTGCAGGTGACGATGATGTTACCCATAAGAAAATGATCGAAGATCGAAAACAGCTGTGATTACGATCTTTCCTTATGGTAGACTTAGCCTCTTCATTCAGTTGAAAAGCAATACTATATAATACTAAGAGAAAGGTTAGCCGTATGGAAAAAAAGGAGCTTCATTCATACATGGAAATCATGACGCTTTGTCAACGCTTTACTATCTGAAAGGATAATTATTATATTTAATTATAATTTCTTTCTAATCTTTGTTGCTTCCGTGTATGAAGAGAGAATATTTGCCGATTGTACAGAGATTTTTTCCGTACAAAGCGTATAATAATATGAGAATTTTCTTTATGATTAATATTTTTTTATAAAAAATAAAGAAAATAAAAGTGATAAATAATTAATCCAAATGAATGAAAATAAATATTTTTAATACAATTTCGAATAAATTATTTTAAATTATATATTAGATACACACTGTTTAAAAGAAGAATCATAGTGGAATAATTTTCAAATATTGAGAACACGAGAAAATTAAAATT